AATCGAAAGCAGAAGTGATGCGAACCTACTTGGATGTGACAACTAACTGAAAGAAGAGTCAATGAGCAGATTTTGTGGAGGAAGGACCCAAAACTTCAGAAGTTTGCGAGGCGATGCTCGTTAAAGCTCCAACAAGCATCCACCCAGTTCAAGCAGCATGTGGAAATTTTGAGAGACTGGCGTAGTAAGGATGGTCTTTTCCTTCATTTGGTGGATTCGCAGGAATCAACGAGGATCAACACAACTCAGCCAACCCCACACCAGAGTCAGAGTCATTGGCGAGTTGAAGCAGCATAGCGGATCAAAGGTTCGACTACTCAAAAACAGCAGCGGAGAGCAGCTGGGAGCCAGGAGGCGCATTGCAGCTGGAGCGGAAGATTGAAGACTCAGCAAAGGCGAAGAGTTGCAGTGTTCACAAAGGCTTCGACGAGGACGTCGAAGGGATAAGTGGGGGAGAATGTCACGGACGAACTTCTAAACAAGGTGTTTGATGTAATGCTTATATCTGTCCGTGTCTGTTGGCATGTTCATGCCTTGTACAACATATAGAGGGGCGGCTGAAGGCTTAATAGTCCCATTTTAGTTGGGTTGGTGGCCTCTTTAGGCTTGTAAATAAATGTTGTGTCATGTGGACACGTGCGAGAGATTTTCGGTCTGTAATGGATTACCCTTTGTTGTGCCACTGTTCAGAGCTTGTAAAGTCTGTTTGTAATTTGCATTGTCTATGAAGTGTTTTTCGGAGATGTTTGCTTGTGGATCCCGATTGAGGCGTTCTCTCTAACCCGTTCTCTCTTTTGGTGGTCCTAAGGGACAATGGAAGGCTTCGGGGAGGCTGACCTTTGCGGACGGACACGCAAGGGTGCCGCACGACTTAGGCAAAACCAGCTAAGTCCGTGTCACTGGGGCAGTGTGCCGTCCAGGGGGTGGCTGACGTCGTGGTGTGTTACGTCAAATCTGTTTTTACCCCTATCAGATCTCATGTACAATTCTCGAATAGCATTCACCGTTAATCCATACATGACCCAATCCGTAGCAGAGATCTCATGTACAATTCTCGAGTAGCATTCACCAATAATCCATACATGAACAGGAACCTCCAGTAAAATGGTGGAACCGATACCGGTCTCTCAAGATTATGTTCCTGTTGTATATACCAGACACAAGCTTGGCAACCGAGTGGCAGTCATCACATACACGAAGATTCTTTGTGATCCGTATCGGTGCCGGCGAACACGACCTAAGAAGTCCAAAAGCAATTGCCAGTTTCTCACTGTGTAAATATAGTGCCTTCTCTTTCGCATCATCTTCTATATCCTGCAAGACAAGTTTTCTGTTGGGTACATAACCAGCTGCTTTCAATCTCGACGCCATATCCTCCAACTGCAGATATATCTTCTCCTTCATAGGGTGAGATATATCTCCCACCAAAAACTCATGCACCACACCATGAACTTCTATGGAGCTACAACCTGCCTCCTTCTTAAGTGAACTGTCTTTCATCCACTTCCTCAGCATGGCAACAGCATCCCATCTTCCTGATCTGGCATATAAATTAGACAAAATCACATAGGCTCCATGATTTCTAGGCTCCAACTCCAGCAGTTGTTTACATGCAAGCTCACCCAACTCGACATTTTTATGAACGGCACAGGCTCCGAGCAATGCACCCCATGCTGAAGCGCCCGGCGGCATTGGCATGTTCTCCACATACCCTCTGGCTTCTTCCAATCGCCCGGCACGGCCGAGGATGTCAACCATGCAACTGTAGTGATCGGCAGTCGGTGAAATGCCATAGACAGGAAGCATTTGGCTAAAATACAGCCTGCCCTCCTCGACCAACCCTGCATGGCTACAAGCACATAATATGTTGGTAAAGGTTACGGTGTTCGGCTCTACCTTGGCCTCCTGCATTTGCTCAAAGAGATCCAAAGCTTCTCTTCCCCTTCCATGCATTGCCAGCCCTGCAATCATGGCACTCCACACGAACACATCCCTCCTGCTCACACAGCCGAACACATGGAGGGCCTTATCCACGTCTCCGCACTTGGAATACATGTCGATCAGCGAAGTTGTGAGATGAAAATTTAGCTCCAAGTTGTTCTTCTCCATGTATGCATGGATCCAACAGCCCAACTCCAGTGCACCCGATTGGGAGCAAGCTGACAGTGCAGCAACCAGTGTTACCTGATCAGGCGTAGCATCGGCATGCTGCGATTCATGGAAGAGATCTAAAGCTTCCTTCGGACGACCACTCTGTTCATAACACGAGATCAAAGCATTCCAAGAAGCAATATCACGCCTGGGCATTTCATCGAACACTCGGCGCGCGGCATCGAACTGCCCTGACTTTGCATACCCGACGAGCATCGTGGTCCACGAGATGGAGTCCTTGGTGGTCATGCCATCAAAGAGCGACTCGGCGTCCGCCAAGCTTCCGCACTTCACAAACATGTCGAGCAAGGCATTATCCAGTATTAAGCTTTGCTTAATATCATTTCGCTCAATGTAAGAATGTATTCGCTTGCCAAGCTCCAAGTCGCCCTTTTTCCCACAGACTGAAGCAACGCTCACCATCGTCACGTCGTTGGGCCTCACGTTCTCGCCATCCATCTCCTCGAACAGTTGCAGAGCCTCGTCCCAGCGACCGCCCTGCGCCAGAGCAGTGATCGCGGAGTTCCAAGACACGACGTCTCGCTCAGGAATCTTCTCAAACACCCTGAGGGAGAGATTCGAGTCCCCGCAGGCCGCGTACAAGTGGACGAGAGAGTTAAGGACGAAGACGTCGGAACGTAAAAGGGGGGATTTGGCGACCATCGCGTGGAGGGCGGCGCCCTCGCGGAGGGCCGCCAGTTCGGCAGCGGCCTTTATGGCGAAAGGGAAGGTGAACTTGTCCGGCGAGTGGGGGCTGTGGCGGAGCAAGCTGGAGAAGAGGAGGAGGGCGAGGCGAGGATCGGGGGCGGAGGCGTGGGCGCGGATGATGATATTCCAGGTGAAGAGATTGGGAGCGGGGATGTGGTCGAACACCCGGCGGGCGTAGCGAAGGTCGGCGGAGGGGGAGAGGGAGCAGGCGGCGAGGAGGCGGCTGGCCGAGTAAGGGTGGCCGAGGAGGCCAAGGCGAAGCATGCGGGCGTGGATTCGCCTGATGCCGTCGGCGTCGAGGCGCCGGTGGTCGTCCAGAAGCGCGAGAACCGGATGGTCCTCGGCTTTCCTCCTAACAGGGAGGTTGTTGCTCCTGCTGCAGCCGCTGCCGTTGTTGTTGGGGTCGTGTGTACGAGGAAGCGCCGAAGGATGGGATGGCAGAATCCGAGTCGCCATGGAGGATGAGCTCCTACTGCAAGTGTGGTGTGAATCGGGCGAGAGAACAGATTTAACGGGCGCGTTCACGTAACTGTCACGAATCGAAAGAATTGCAATATTATTAAGAATTAAAAGGCCGAAAAATCTATTTCATTCGCTTTTCTAAAAATATAAATCGACATATGGCACGTGTCACTAAGCATTATCACACATGGATATAATATCCAAACGGAACATTAGATGGAAATGAAACTCCGGTAGGCCCGCACGCGCGTGGGTGGATGGCGGTTGGCGGTCTTCCATGGATGCGTGCAGCTAAACTTCACGGTCTTCTACAGCCCGATCGGTAACACGATCCACTGTTCTTGCACGCTGTGCTGCTCCTTGGCCACCCATAAATGGTTGGTCTCCGCTCGTCATCTACCATTCAATGACCGCTATTTAGCTGACACCAAAGGCTTTACTTTCTCCAACCCCACCGGACCACTCCCCGGAGATTCCCCCGATCCGTGGGGGTAGCAGTAGCAGCAGAGCAGCAAAACCATGGCGACATCATGGGAGACGAGTGTGACGGAGTCCATCAACGCCGTATACCTCCTGTTCTCGGCGTACCTAGTCTTCGTGATGCAGCTCGGCTTCGCCATGCTTTGCGCCGGCTCCGTCCGCGCCAAGAACGCCCTCAACGTCATGCTCACCAACGTGGTGGACGCCGTGGTGGGCACCGTGTCCTACTACCTCTTCGGTTTCGCCTTCGCTTTCGGCGGCTCCAACCCCTTCATCGGGACCTCCTTCTTCGCGCTCCACCACGTCCCCAACGACTCCTATGACTACGCCTACTTCCTCTACCAGTGGGCCTTCGCGATCGCTGTGGCGGGCATCACCAGCGGCTCCATCGCGGAGCGCACTCAGTTCAGCGCCTACCTCGTGTACTCCTCCCTGCTCACGGGGTTCGTGTACCCGGTCGTGGCGCACTGGGTGTGGTCGTCGGAGGGGTGGCTCAGCCCGAGCGCCGGCGGCGTGGGGCTGCTTTTCGGGTCTGGGGCCATCGACTTCGCGGGGAGCGGGGTGGTCCACCTGGTGGGGGGGATCGCGGGCCTGTGGGGGGCGGTGATCGAAGGGCCACGGGTCGGCCGCTTCGACGCGTTCGGGAAGCCCGTCCCCATGCGCGGCCACAACGCGACGCTGGTGGTCCTCGGCACGTTCCTGCTCTGGTTCGGCTGGTTCGGGTTCAATCCCGGGTCCTACGCCCGGATCCTGGTGCCCTACCCGGACGCGCCTGACCAGGGGAACTGGACAGGGGTTGGGCGCACGGCGGTGACCACCGCACTCGCCGGCTCCACCGCGGGCCTCGTGACGCTCTTCGGCCGCCGGCTGTTGGCGGGACACTGGGACGCGTTGGACGTGTGCAACGGGCTCTTGGGCGGGTTCGTGGCCATCACCTCCGGCTGCGCCGTGGTCGAGCCCTGGGCCGCCATAGTCTGCGGGTTCTTCGCCGCCTGGGTGCTGATAGGGCTCAACACGCTCGCGTTGAAGCTACGGTTCGACGACCCACTAGAGGCAGCGCCGCTGCACGGCGGGTGCGGGGCGTGGGGGCTCATCTTCACGGGGCTGTTCGCCAAGGAGGAGCTGGTGGTGCAGGCGTATGAGTCGGGCGAGGTGGGGGTTAGCCGGCCCTTCGGGTTGCTGCTGGGGGGCGGATGGGGGCTGCTCTTGGCGCAGGTGGTGGCGGTGGTGGTGATCGTAGGGTGGGTGAGCCTGACCATGGCGCCGCTGTTCTACGTGCTGCACAAACTACACCTGCTGAGGATATCGGTGGACGAGGAGCTGGCGGGGCTGGACATCTCCAGCCATGGCGGCTACGCTTATGTGGCGCACCCGGAAGAACATCACCCACGATTCTACGCGGACTACACGAGCATCGCGGATGGGACCCGTTGACCCGCGAGTTGGAGCGGATGATGGATAGAGAGATTGGTAGGCGCGAGTTCGCTGGATAGGAGTCGATTCGTTGGTTGATTGGGCCTCGTGTCGGCTTTGATAGCATTGGTGATGACGAATGTGCGGTCATGTATCGTCGTTCTTTCGTCTGTCAAGCGTGATGCGTTGGATGAAAGGAAAACTGAATGAACACGACCTAACCGTCGTCGATTAGATTGAATCCGAGTCGAACATTAGCTCGAGCTTTTAACCGGAGGAAAAGGATCTTGAGAACCGAGAGCGCAGGAGGTGGAGCTTCCAACATGGATGGGGGAACCTTGCCCTCTCTTTGTATGTTACAGGTGACAGAAGAGGAGGAGACGAGCAAAAACAGGAATCGACGGATTTGTGAGTCAGTGGAGCTGCGGTGGCGGGCCAGAGGCAGCGGGAGGATGAGGATGCGGTTTGGGGCACTGGTAGCACTTGGCGAAGAGACCGAAGGTGTCGACCTGCTTGACGAAGTTGATCACGCTGGCCCAGCCGCCGAGACCGAAGCCCGCCACCATCACCCACCCCACCACGAAGGCGTTCACCACGTACATCGCCGTCCAGCTGGGTAGAAAGAATGGCAGCTTCTCCACAGCGTTCTGCAAGGACGACAAAAATGAAGGCTTTGGCAGTCATAGTGCCAGCTAACCAGTAGGTAGGGATGCAACGCCTAGTGATTGAGCCCCAACCAAGATGGCAGACAAAACAAGGATGATACCTGCCGTGCCGATGGGGTGCGATAGGTGAGCATGTGTGCCATGGCGGGGATGATATAGACGGTGAAGCTGACGAGGAGAGCCCCCACCGCGGAGTTTATGGGCCCAAAGAATGGGAATATAATGGCCAGGAACCAGATGGGGATGACGACCGGAAGCCGGGCGAGGGAGCGCATACAGATGCTCTCGGTGTCGTGCATTCCGATCACCTTCTCCCACACGAAGTAGAGCGGGGTGCAGGCGAAGCCGAAGGTGATGAACTGGTGGATCAACATGAGAATCACCGCCGCGTCCCTCCACCCTGACTTGGGCAGCAGCGAGAACGCATTGGAGTGGGTCAGAAGTTGGTCGCCGAAGGCCCAGTACACCGCGGCCGCCGACGGTAGCGTCAGAGTGAACACGTACACTGTAGCTAGAAAGTAGATGTACTTGAACTTCCGTGGTTTCCACATGGCATGCATGATCTCCCTGCACACAACGTTAACATACACGATGAGAAAGCAGGTCGATCCACGAGAGGCCATTCAGGTGTCGTTTCCTATGCATCAAACTCACTATGAGACACTATGAGACTCGGACCGGAGTTGATGTATCTTCCTAGCAAATCCCCGGAGGGTGATGAAGTCCCAGCACGAGGCATCTCTCAAGTAGTTTGATCCCTTCCTTGTTCATGCTAGCATCAACCTGATATCACAGAAATGGTGCCTCGAGGTCAAGCCCCATCTGCCTACCATGGTGTTTAGAAAATGTTTCACTTGCTAGGTGAGAAGATTAGTCCAACAATTGGTGTTTGACCACACTCTTTCTTGGTCGGAAGCTTGAACCAGTGGTGCAGTCCAACAAGCGGTGCACTCAACCTGTATAAATCCTATAGCCTCAATAATAATAATAATAATAATATTATTATTATTATTGTTGTTGTTGTTGAGGAACAATTTGAAAATACAACACATTCTGTTGGTGCAAACAACCTTGAGCCGTGGCCTCGGGACCGACACGGCTGATTCGGGTCCGAATGAGCGAGAGTCTTGCTCGGCATCCCTCTAGGTTGCCGAGGCGGTCGGTCGTGCTGATTGGGTCGCGTCGGAGCTCGTCGGACTTTTTCGGGGGATGGAGATTCCTCGCTGGGGTGTTCGTGGGGAAGCAGCTTTGTCTTCGTACCTGCACACAGGCTGGGTCGGTGGCTCGGCCCGATCCCTCCGACGATCAGGTTAGATGATGTGAAGAGGTCTTTTTTGTGTGTCCTTCTCCCTTCCTTACCATTTAGGACGTGAGGGTATTTATATGAAAGCTTATCGTTTCCTAATGTGCCCGTTTGCAGGGGGCAGGCTGGTAGCGTCTGACGCAGGTGTTGACGTGACGTGAACGATCGAGCCCGAGCAGGATGTTTAATGTGCCTCGGTCGGCGTTCCGATCCGTTTGACCAGATGGTGTCGGGTCGATCGAGGTGTGAGACGTCATCTGGGGCAGCTGACGTCAGCCCGAGTCTTGTTGCCATTATTATCCTCATCACATTCTTATTTCTAAGTTGGACACGGATGCAATTCGGACTTATTTTCTAAGTCCGATCCATTAATTATTCTCACGGAAAAGAAAAAGGTTGTCTAAGATAAAAAAAAAAAAGAACATAACATGATTAAGCGCCAGTTTACGTGCACCCCACCCGGGAAAAGAGAGACACCCACCTACCGCACGACCCACACGCCCTTCCTTCTGCCCGCTTCCCCCCTTTTCAGTCTCATCTGTCGCCACTCTGTCTTCTCTCTCGTTCCACACCGTCGGACTCGTTGATCGCTCCTTTAATATACGGGCCACAATTGGGCCGACTGACCCAAACAATTTATTATTGTTATTTATTTATTTATTCAGATTAGGATTAATAAAAAGAAGAAAAAAATTATAGGGAGGCTTTCACTTACATCATTCTTTGCAACACACAAGGAATTCGATGCGATTAGGTGCCGTCTGCGTAGTCTACCCGAGAAATAGGATATACTTAGGACCACGGAGCGGGTGGGATTGACTGACTTCTTCCTAACCTTATCCGCACGGACCTATTCCGATCCCCACCCCCATCTCAGATGTCTACCGAAGTAGACGGGAGAAAAAGCTGCTGTCTTTTTCTGCTTCTTTCCTTCGGCCGTGGCGTCCTTCGATCGCTTTGTTTGTTTTGGCGTCCGTTGCATATGCTCGTGGCCTTTCCGGTTAAGCGACTAGTAATATTCCAGGCGCACCCGACCCGCGTTGGTTGGCAGAACGCGGGCCGGCCATGTGACACGGCCGACACGCGTCTCATAACACCGCCCGGCATCTCACATGGCCGCGCCGCGTGCGGCGGTAAGCTGGCTTCCCGCAGCGGCACGCCCACTCCCCCCTTCTTCCGTGGCTTGCGCTCCTCGGTGTCTTCGCTCTCCGCTCCCCGCTCCGGCCCCACCGGTCACCAAGTCTCCGCGTGCGTGTATTCCGCCCCCACCTTGGCCCGGGCCGGTCCGCCGTGACGTGCGGCTGACACGGTAAACTCGGGGATCGAGTCTACGAGTGCTGAGACCGCCAGCAATGTCGCAAACAGATGGTCAGTGTTCTTAACGTTGAAAAGAAATCGATGAAAAGAGACGGTCAATATCTAAACCACATATCTTATCCCTAGATAGGAAGCTTCTTCGCAGAAAAATCCTCAGGACAACGGCCCCTCAGCTATTCGACCTAATGCCGCTGCGACGATTCCGTGCCATCGTCATTACGGCCAGTGATTGTTCCCCTAACGGCTGTTGTACCGCATTGAAACGTCAATCCGGTTAGCTCCACGAGCACTGCCGTGCGTGCTGTGTAAGAAATAAAGGAAACATTAATGGAGGATGAGTTGGCGAAAGAAGAATTTTCTTCTCTGGTGGAAGTCGAACCTATTTCTTTCGAGAGCAAACAGGATTTATGGCCGTTACTTTTTATCTTGAAGAGCCTGTCGGTCAATCCACATCCCGAGTTCAGTAGAAAATTCCTCTTTATTTATTTTTTGCTTATTGCAAGAAAATAAATAGCAGGAAGGTCAAAGCACGGACATGGATTTGAACCCCTAGAAGAGCTGCCGGTCAACGATGTACAAGAAATATTCTGACTCGGCTCGGCACCACGACCCAGGAAGACGCCGAAGACGTGTAATGTTTGGGTTCCGAACGAACACGCAGGTCTTCGTCTCCTTTTGCGTAACGTGGTGTGTCGGGGCCACCCACGACGCCAGCTCCAATCACAGGCCTGGTTTGGATGCTGGCTAAATCGAAAGCATGGTCGGAAGAGCAGTGTCGTTCGGATAAGCTCTCGCGTCCGCCCATGGCGTTCTCTTTGGGTCTTTGACATGTCGCCTCCTCGAGTTTTCTTTTTTGCCTTCACCGACCCGCCTTGGAATTCCTCACCCGCTTCCGGGCCTCTTCCTTGTTCCCACCGCGATCCCTTATCTATCATGTGCGTGTATATATGTCTCTCACGTTCGCTTCTTCTTTCAGGGAAAGGATAGGAAGCTTTCTTCCATCTCTCTAGCGCAGGTTTTGATTGATTCATCGAGTTGTTCCCCCCCCTCCACCCTCTCTCTCTCTCTCTGAAACATCTTCCTGTAGCTTATCTCGATAGCTAAGAATCGGATGGCGGCGTCCGAAATATCGCCCGCGCCTTCCGATGCCAAGTCGAAAGTATGGTCGACTGCTGCTGCTCTACGGGGCCACGATGCCTCCGCCATCGCGGCTTATGAGCACTACCTCCGCCTTCCCGAGCTCGCCAAGCTCTGGAGCTCCAATGACTTCCCTCGGTGGACCAACGAGTCCATCCTCAAGCCGGCCTTGCAGGGCCTGGAGATCACCTTCCGGTTCGTCTCCCTCGCCCTCTCCGACCCCCGGCCATACGCGAACCACCGGGAGTGGAAGCGGCGGCTCGAGTCACTCGCCGCGCGTCAGGTCGAGATCATCGCCACCCTCTGCGAGGAGGAAGCTCGCGCCGGCGGTGGTGCGCCCATCGCGGATCTCAGCTCGTGCCAGGGGCTCCTGTCCCGGGGCAAGAGCTCGCAGGAGGTGTGGAAGGTCCCCGGCACCAGCAGCGTGGTGAGCCGTACCAGCGAGGCGAGCTTGCTGCCTCGGCTGGCCACGTGGGAGAAGTCGGAAGACGTGGCTTCCAAGATCCTGTTCCAGATCGAGAGCCAGATGCATCGGTGCCAGTTCACGCTGGGGTTGGGCGAGCCCAACCTCACAGGGAAGCCTACGCTGGAGTACGACCTCGTCGTCCGCCCATCGGACCTCCACGCCCTGAAGAGGAGCCCCGGCTCGTCGAAGGACCTCCACAACCACGAAGACCAGGCGCTCTGCACGATCCAGCAGATCCTCGAGTCGTGGCTCTTCGCCGCTCGGGAGCTCTTGGCCCGAGTCGATCAGAGGATGGATGACAAGGACTGGGCGCAGGCGGCGAACGATTGCTGGTTGCTCGAGCGCGTGTGGAAGCTGCTGTCGGACGTGGAGGACCTCCACCTGCTGATGGACCCAGACGACTTCCTCCGGCTCAAGAGCCAGCTGGCCATCAAAGCCACCTCCGGCTCGGAGGCGTTCTGCTTCCGCTCTGCGGCTCTGCTGCAGGTGACGAACTCTTGCAAGGACCTGAAGCGGAGGGTGCCGTGGATCCTGGGAGTGGAGGCGGACCCCAACGGGGGGCCCCGGGTGCAAGACGCCGCGATGAGGCTGTTCCACAGCCGGCGGCGGGGCGAGGGCGACAACCCCGGGAAGATCGATCTGCTGCAGGCGCTGCAGGCGGTGGAGGTTGCGTTGAAGACCTTCTTCTTCGCCTACCGGCACTTGGTGGCGACGGTCATGGGGAGCCTGGAAGCCAGCGGCAACAGAGCCGTGTATACGCCGTCGGAGGCGCTGGATCCGCTGTCGCAGGTGTTCCTGGAGCCGCCGTATTACCCTAGCTTGGATGCGGCCAAGACGTTCTTAGGAGATTTCTGGCAGAACGAGCTCGGCAGCGGCGCATCCAAGACGAAGTGGCATTGACAAAGCGCTCGCATACGGCTAACCATCATTGAAGTTTTGGGTGAACAATTATTGCATTGGAAGATACAGCAACAACTAGTCGATATATGTTCTCAGATATTTCTATATATTTTTTCGTATAGCCAGCCAGCCATAGGTAGATCGCCTGTTGTATGTTCTATAATCGCTCTCAATTATCCTTATTTTTTTTATCGTAAAAAAAATAAATTAATGCTAGTGAATTGATTTAATATTTATTATCCATGGATAATACCCTCATGGGTTACAGAGTCTCGAGGCCTTCTTTCGTGTGGGTTTTGTTGGCGACGACGAGTCCTCTGCCTTCGTCTGGTTGATCTTTTCCTGTGCCGTCGAATGAATCAGTTTCGGGTGCCGACGACCGAACTGTAGCTTTTCGCCGCTACAGTGACGCATGGGATAAAGGAGCGGTTCCGATTGATTCGGGCGAACAACTGTGACCACCTCGATGCTGTATTGACTTATATAGTGCAGTTTCCAAGAACGGCCTCACAATTTGCCTATATAATAAATAAGAAATAGATTACAAATTTCGAAATATCTGCTCGTCATAATTCGAGAATATATAAATGAAATGCATCGGTTGAGGCGATCGTCCGCTCGAATAGTTATGGTACGCCTGGCCAATAATAACGAGCGTGCCACGCATCCTGGAAAACCACACAAGTATATTCATACGTACGTGTACGCTTGGATTGCGATGATTACAGCTTCGGTAGTGGGAGCGAACTACTATTGCGATGAAAACAACTACGAGTTCGATGGATACTGTTCATTGCCTTATAATAAGCGAATTCCTTGGTGTTTTGTTCCCTTTCGGTGTCTTCTCTGCGCCGTCCGCTTTATTATCTCTTGGGGGAAATGAAACCATCAAAAACTTAGGGTTGCGGTCGCTCCCAGGATGCTTTCTCCGCCTCCGCCTCCGCCTCCGCCTCTGCCTCGGACGCTGCTGCCTGTGGGCTGTGGGCGTTGAAAAGTTCTCTCGCCCGCCCTGGTTCTCTCCGTCTTTCTCTTTCGAGGTAAGGAGAAATCGAGCTGGGATTCATGGTTCGCTTCTTTTTCTCTCTTCCTAATTAATACTTTCCTTCTCTGGTGGCTTACTTCTTTTGTCCCTCTTGTTCTTGTTGTAGTTCTGGGCTTCAGTTGCAGAGATCGAGGGATTCGATGGGGATCTGGTGCTGTAGGCCGATCCCATTTTGGCAGCCCATCTGGCTGTAGAAAAGGCCCCCCTTCTTTTGTGTTTTGCGTGGTTTTGGTTGTGAGATTGGGGAGAGAGAGAGAGACGATGGAACAGCGGAGGTTTGACAGGGCGGTGAGCTTTGGGATATCGGATGCGGCGTTGGAGCGGGTGATGGCGTACGTCGACGACCCCCGCGACCGGGAGGCCATCTCGCTGGTGTGCAAGAAGTGGTACCGCATCGACGCCCTCTCGCGGAAGCACGTCACCGTCGCCATCTGCTACTCCACCACCCCCGACCGGCTCCTCCGCAGGTTCCTCAACCTCGAGTCACTCAAGCTCAAGGGCAAGCCCCGCGCTGCCATGTTCAACCTGATCCCCGAGGACTGGGGCGGCTATGCCGGCCCTTGGATCCGCGGCCTCGTCCACGCCCTCGACTGCCTCAAGGCCCTTCACTTCCGCCGCATGATCGTCTCGGACGAGGACATTGACGCCCTCGTTCGGGCCCGGGGCAACGTGCTCAAGTCGCTCAAGCTAGACAAGTGTTCTGGATTCTCCACGGACGGCCTCTTGCTCATCGCCCGTTCTTGCAAGTAAGTACGCATTACACTCGAATGAAGTATCCATGCTTGCTCTTATTGTAGATCGGGGAACTGAAATGCGGTTGGTTTCACTAGAAATAATTTCTGAACGACGTCCATGTAGTTTATGTTGCTCTCAAGTGTGATTAGATAAGTTAGTGTTCATCAAGACTGCTGGGCCACGTAAGTAATGATAATTAGCATATATTGATGTCAATTTTGCTGCTTGCTCATTTGCCAAGGCCAATCATTCAAGTAACGTCTTTAAATTGTTTACTATGTGTCAAATCTTCAGATTCTTAAGAGTCGAATAAGTATGTCTGTTCATATGTGGTATCATTGATTGAATGGCCTTTTCTTGTTGATATCCACATAGCTATACACATCGTAGTTCAGATTTTGGTTTAAAATGGCACTCTTGATCAGGTTTGTGTGTGCGCATGTGTTCCGCTTCTGGATATTCTACATGCCAAATAAAGTTCATCTATCATCAAGTTCATGATAGATTGGACATGTTATCGAAGCTGATTGGTTCACTTTTAGTGCTAAGCGTTCCTACTTGTGCGCTTCTATGTTGCAGTGGAGCGTCTTATGCCGTAATTATTTCATGACCTGCTCTTTGCATAAGAGAAAAGGGATCCATGGTCTGTTGTAGGTGGCCGACTATACTTTCAACTATACATGCTAGAAGGATATATATCTATTAATAATCAGTCATTACTCTTTTAGGCAAAGTGCACAAGTGCCCTTGGTGTTGGATACAGTTGTCAAACTTCATGGATGATCGAAAGAAATATTTAAAACAATGCAAATGTTTGAAATTTGATTGTAGTTTCAGACCTTGACTCTTGATTGAATCATTGGTGGAGGCATGACTATATTCAAAATGATAGGCTTCACACAACGAAAATTAGAAAATTGAAGCACCATGGGAACTAATTAAGGGTCTAGTGGAAGGTAAAAGAAGGAGAGGAAACAGAAAGGAGGTGTTTGTGATAAATGATTATGAACAGAAAAGATTTCACTGTCAGTTTGCTTGTATAAAGATCGAGCATCTAGGATCATTTATATATGTTATTTTCTGTGCATTGAGTGTGACTTGGATATGTAAGACAATTACATTCTCATAGCGCATAGAGGTTTGGTAATCAATGATCTAAACTATTGAAGTGATCTATACACTTTATCATACCCTCGTGAAGAAAACTAGGGAACTTCAAATGGGAAATCATGAGTTTATCAAGGCCATTTGCTCATATGTTAACTTATCTAAAAATGAACAGTGTAGTTTAACTTTGTCATGTTTGTTTTTTGCCAATTGGTAGGACAGATGGCATGAAATTATGTGGTATTTTCATATTTGGAAACTGAGGTGCCTGGATTCATCCATTCATAAACCTGTGTGTGTTTGTGCCTGTGCATGAATGTTGATGTACGATTGGTTCATTTTGGGAGTTCTACTGAATTGAAGAGACATGACATGAGGACCAACGAACTTTCCTGGGAACGGAAACAAAAAGAACTTTCTTCATGTACTGGAAACCTCTGCATCTTACAAGTTTTTAGCTACTGATCATATTGAAGTAACAATGGAAGAGATGTAAAATTGTCGCTGTTGTTTGTTTATTACAACCAATCTTTGAACTATTAACAATTGGACGAGAGACACTAAACAAGATTTACATTCTTCTGTGACTGACCTTGGGCATTTTGCCTTGGTCAGCATGTATGTTATTGAACATCACATTTCCTTTTAATGCCCATGGATTCTTTTCCTGCCATGATGCAACTGATTTTCAAATATAATCTGCAGAAACATTACGGCATTATTCTTGGAAGAAAGCTTAATTGTCGAGAATGATGATAGATGGGTTCACGAGCTTGCTGTCAACAATTCTGTGTTGGAGGCTTTGAATTTCTACATGACAGAGCTTAGAGTTACACCACAGGACCTTGAGTTACTTGCTAGGAACTGCAAGTCTTTGGTTTCCCTGAAGATCAGTGAATGTGACATCTCAGATCTAGTTGGTTTCTTCCGTGCAGCAACGTCACTGGAAGAGTTTGGTGGGGGCTCATTTAATGATCAAGTTGGAGAGGTCAACAAGTACGACGTGATTAGGTTTCCTCCCAGGCTTTGCTGTGTTGGGCTCATTTTTATGGGTACGAATGAGATGAACTTATTATTTCCATTTGCTGCTGCACTGAAGAAACTCGACTTGCAATACACGTTTCTCAGCACCGAGGATCATTGTCAGCTGATCGAACGATGTCCAAATCTAGAGGTTCTCGAGGTAGCATACACATCAACTTTTTTTACATTTTATTTGTTATGCATTTAATCTGACGATGTTTGAATCGGCTCTTGGTTCTTTAAGGTAAGGGATGTGATTGGAGATAGAGGATTAGAGGTTGTTGCTCAGACGTGCAAGAGACTCCGAAGGCTAAGAATAGAAAGGGGGGACGATGAACACGGCCTGGAAGATGAACAGGGTCGAGTCACACAACTTGGGCTATCGGCTCTAGCTCGGGGATGCCCTGAACTAGAGTACCTGGCAGTATATGCCTCTGATATAACGAACGCAGCTTTGGAATCTCTTGGAACTTATAGCAAAAATCTTTGTGATTTCCGGCTTGTCTTGCTCGATAGAGAAGAAAGGATCACGGATCTACCCCTCGACAACGGGGTTCGAGCTCTCTTGATAGGTTGCACCAAGATTAGGAGGTTTGCCTTCTATCTGAGGCCAGGAGGTCTATCCGACGTTGGTCTCGGTTACATTGGCGAGAATAGTAGCAATATCAGATGGATGCTGTTGGGTAATGTTGGGGACTCCGATGCTGGATTATTGATGTTTTCAAGAGGTTGCCCTCTTCTGCAGAAGCTGGAGCTTAGGAGTTGTTGTTTCAGCGAGCGTGCCTTGGCTTTGGCCGCTACGCAGCTGCCTTCTTTGAGGTACTTGTGGGTGCAGGGGTATAGGGCATCCCCGGGTGGTGGCGACCTTTTGGCAATGGCCCGTCCATTCTGGAACATAGAATTTATTCCTCCAATACAGGTTACATGTGACACCCGTGGCGTAGAGGCCCAGGCTCAGATACTTGCTTACTACTCCCTCGTCGGCAGAAGAACAGATTGCCCGGAGTCTGTGATCCCTCTATATCCAGCATCAAGTGTACATATGTAGGAGGACTCTATAATCCTTTTTTGTTTTTCCTCATTTTTGCTCTTTCTTGAGCTCCGAGCGATCAACATGCCTACGATTAGCTTGTGTCAATCTAACGATCCAAGCAGCCTGTACTGTGATCGGATGTTTAAGTTGGTTTGGTTAAACGATTTTATTAGCCCTCTGCATTTTGAAAGGTCACCACAGAGCTGAAAATTAAACAGTGGACCTGTTGGGTTTGATAGCCTACCGATCATTTTAACTCGATTATTACTGGTTTTATATGTTGCAGTTTCTCAAATCATAATCTGTCTCATCGGTCTCACCTGTGTTTAGGATGAGATGTACATTCTGCCTTCCATGCAGTTCACGACGTCTCACACTCGAGTCGGTCCTGAAGAACTTTTCCAAAGGGGGTTCTTAGAACTGATGTATCTATCTCGTGTTCTCCACGGGGAACGCAAGTTTTCCTGAGATGGATATGTTATCACGCATGAGACACCCTCCAAGTTAAAAAGGCTGTATCCCATTCAATCTCCGTTCGACACGAAGGCTATTAAACCAGCACCAGAGTGATGAATGAGCCCTCCGAATGAATAATAAAGAGTCTTGATCTCTTCCGTTGTTACGTGTCATGGTGAGTGGACATCCACGAGGCATATATATCGTGCCACCCCCCACATCTAAAAAGACTGTTGGGGTGTGACGGAGAAGACCGTGCAGATGTGGGACGACACATTTAACAGTAGAAAAAAGGTCATGAAGCACTACTTACTAACGCACATCAAACAAAAGCTGAAAGGCCAAAGGCCAGACCAAAAATAGTGGAACCCCCAGTGAGTGTGTGTCGTCCGCATCTTCCCCAATCCCAAGTGGATCGTTACGTCATTTACATCCGCCATCGCCAAGTGACTCGTTCGCACGACACACTTGCCGATAGTTGCGGCCACAGCATCAGTACCTGTTTCTGCCATATCACCCAGTGGCTGCTGTAGCGAGCGCATGAACCAGCACGAGTATTGGCGGAGAGCGAAGCCCCGATGGATGGACAACACACTGCGAATCCACTCGCAAAAGAACGAGTGACACGATGGCCTCCCCGAGTGCTGATCCTCTTTCTACGTGTTACATGGCGGTAGCAACTGTTGCTCTTTCTGTCCTACCTCAGGGTTATATAGATTCTTCAGGTCAACTTCCCCACCACGAAGATATGGAGCGAATCCCAAAGAAAAAAAAAAAAGTTTCTCGGATCACATAATGCTTATTCTACTGGAACGATGTTCGAACAAAAGGCAATGAGCAATCCCCATTTCTTTCTTCGGTTATCTCTCACACAAGGTTTGTGCGGAACAATCATGAGTGCTCGTTATCCTGTCGCTATTCTCTGATGAATGCTAATGTTCAGATTCTTCGAGTAATGCATCCAGAATTTGACCCATGACTCTCCACGAGGCTAGAATAGTCGTCGAAATAGTATTGTGCAAACAGGATCTGGAGATCAACAGAGTCCTGAAGCATCCAGACATGTTTTGATGGATCTATGATCTACATGTTTCGGTGCATGCTGGAAACAGTAAGTCGTGCAAACCAGATGACTGACTCTCTAGAATTGTCTCGAGATTTACACGCATCTATTACATCGGAATAAGATTGATGGAGAGACATGTTTGGCTGTGTCCGAAACACCCAAGTATTCAATTGCCATATTGGTCTGTTCCACCAAAGAATCCACGACGGGGCTATATCTTGGAATCCCTTGTAAAAGCTCAAGGGCGGAACCTCAAGAAAGAAGAGAATGATGGGAGCATGAGATGCCGAGCTAAGTGGAATGCAGACTCACCCACCCCCCAACCCTAGTTAAGTGGCCAAGCTGAGAGACAAACCCAACCCTAGTTAAGTGGCCAAGCTGAGAGACAAACCCAACCCTAGTTAAATGGCCAAGCTGAGAGACAAACAGGCAACATGGCACTCTCTGCAACTTCATGATAAATCACTACTAGATCGATATCATTTTGTAAGATCACACACCAACCGCGGTGCGAGAAAAAGCCGTGTGACTCAGCCACACTATATTTAGAGATATAGTTGAATCTTCAACACCGGATTTGGATGAACAATATGTAAAGGTACATAAGCACATCGCACCATCTCTTCTTGCGCCAGCACACAGTAATAATCTGGCGATAAGGTGAACAGTAGGCAAATTGAACAAACAAAAGCAGTCTGAAACCTTATACAAGTTCAGATAGCCCTCAAACAAGCTATTGTCTGCTTCGATCGAGTGACTAAGCAACATCAAACTACGAGAGAAACAAGCATGGCCAAAGAGTCATGGCCGATACAACCATTGTTTTCGTACCAACAGCTTATCAAGAGCTTCAGTGTAGAGACACTACAGAACATCCGACGGCTGATAAACCAGATGGTAAGGTGGTGTTTCAGAACTTCGATTCATACCTGTTTATTGACCTTTGTGCGGTTCTGGTTGTCCGATTTCTTTTGAGCAGCACTGGAGAAAGAAGACATTGACACTGCTTCGGGCCGTGTAGATCGTGCAAAACCAAAGCGGAGAACAGAACAAGAACCCTTAATTTCAGATCATGATCAACAACAGACCGAGGCTACTGCATTGCTGCTAGTACAAATTTTTATTTTTATAGTGTACAATGGCATACTAGATATCGTAGAAGAAAAAGCACCATATCTTCCATCCTCGACCAAGCCCCCATTCACCTCCTCCGGTTCTTCTTTGCAATAAATATCCAAATACTGACTAATAGAATCTCATCCGTGAGGAAGATGACGACTTGATTGCATCCGAAACAGCAAATTATGGTCGTTAACCAATGGATCACGAAGAGTGCCACTCTGAGGTGCATGAGCTTCTAGCTTCAACCCATAAGCAGCCACTCCGTATCGTGCTTGCATAATTTGACTCACTTGCGCTGATGAACTAAAGGTACCAGTCGCTTCATCAGGTGGATTTGTATCGTGGATCGATGAGTACGGGCTTGACCATATCGGTGCAGGAGCTGAGCACGGCTGAGAGGTAAGAGAAGATGGCTGAGACGGTGAAGGAGGCCTGTTATCCGGCAAATTGGCAGTGGTAATGTCATGTATGCTCGACCTCCTCTTATCTTTGCCACCTGAATTGAGTCTGATGAAGTACTTTTGCGCATGGCTAGCCACTTGAGTCGGGGTCCGAGTGATCACAAAATTTCGAGATATATTTCTCCAGTCTCCTTTACCATACTTCCTAAGACCGAGCAGAAATCGCCTGCACAAACAACACAACAGCTTCCCATCGTCACCCGATACCGTCTAAAATCCCAACATCAAGTTCCCTTGCAAATAGCAATCCCAAGTTTTCTAGGCCTAACAGGATCATCTAATTATGCGTCAAACTGTGAGGTCAGGTCGCATGAACATTAATTCGAGCATGTAAGAACTCGATAGCACTTCTGATCTAACACTCAAAGCAGGAAAAATTCTTATCACAAGAAGAGATTTGGTGACACTTACTTGTGCTAAAAGTATTAATTCGAACGAGCATGTAGGAACTCAATAGCACATCTGATCTAACATTCAAAGCAGGACAAATTCTAGTGTCAAGAAGAGATTAGGTGACACTTACTTGTGCTACAGTATTAATTCGAGCAAGCATGTAGGAACTCAAAGCACATCTGATCTAACGTCCAAAGCAGGACAAATTCTTGTGACAAGGAAGAGATTAGGTGACACTTACTTGTGCTCCTCTTCCGTCCAGGGGACTCCTTTCTTCCTCTCTTGGTCCGATGCTCGTGCTCCTGATCTCCTACCACCGACGCAGTATGATTGCTTTAGCACTTCGAAGCTCTCCCAGTCCAGCGAAAAAGAAGACGAGTCGTAGCCGGGACATGGGATCCGCCCGGCTTCTATCTGCTTCACATCATTCAGCAAATTCCGGTAATGGCTTTCCACATCCCTCGGCGTCTTGCCAGGGAGAGACGCCGCCACCCTTTCCCACCGGTCGGGGGTCTCTTTGTCGAACTTCGCCAAGGCATACTCGAACCGCTTGTTCTCCTCGGGGGTCCAAGTGCCAGTTCCGCTCCAGCCCCTACTCCTCCTCTCGCCAAGGAACAAACTTGAGCCGGGGTAGCACGGCGTCGTCGGAGGAAGGACTTCCATCGATGATCTTGTCATCGTCCGGAGCTCTCGCGGGCGTTGCCCCTCTTCCTCTGAACTCAAGGCTGGAACTTGAGCTGGATCCTGCAGATGAAAAGATTAACCGGTGCCAAATCCAAGGAGAGGAATGCTAGATTCCCCCACGAGGAATGAGGACCAAACACCAAGAAACCCAGAACTCAAGTAACGATGAATAAAAACACGATCTCGACGACTCGAGTGCGGAAAAAGATTAGACCGCGAACGAATCAAGAGTACTTGCAGAGAATTCAACAAAATCTGCGGCCTTTCTCGTTGAAATCAATCCAAAACGATCGCGAAGGGAAAGCTCTCCAACGACCTCTAGATCTTCTACGAGCCCATTAAGTACTAAATCGGAGCGAGAGGAGGCCAACACAAACACTTGAAAAGGAACAGAACCAGAAAAGCCGCAAGGTAGTCCGGCGGAGAAACCCGTCAAATCCCGAACTAGAAATCAAACGCGACCAGAAATCGAGCATGGAAGGCACGGTAGCCCAAAGCAGAAGCGGAAGCAGCAGCAAATGCGGAGGCAAAGATGAGACCTTTCTGCTCCTTGCCTCTTGTCGGAGGCCTCTGGATGGATCGAGGAAGAAGGGAGGCGTCCGGTGGGGGGTAGAAGGGGGAAGAGTGGGCAAGGAAGGGGTATTTATGCTCATTGGTTCCTTCTTCCACCTTCTCTAGTTTAATCCCTTCCTTTGTGCCACTGTTTGGAGATCTGAAAGCAAGTTAGGAAAAGCGGAAAAAGGTGGACTGCAATTGGCGTCTTGGCGGAGCAGCAAAATTATATTTTTGATATCTGTGATTGATTAATAACAATCACTCGATCTTAATCCGTATTATTGCCATCCATCTACCTATAAATCCTCTTCCAAAGACAACTCAAATTCGTCAATAATGCTAAAATATTACTCTTAAAAGGGAATCTAATCACTCATGGAGTCAACATGATATTTATATACACACACCAACACTTTGATCCCAGATTAGTGCCTCACCAGCAACATTATCAAATCAAGTCCAACACCTGTCATGTCAGTATTTTACTTGCGATGAGGAAAGATTCAGAGCATTATAAAGTATAAAAATGATCATTGCATACGATTATAATATATGACTATTATAGTCAACTGATGCAGTTTGACCTCCGGAAGAGTCATAATGATATAAGGCTCTGTATGCACAGGCCATCCTAATTTTACGTAAAAATTATGTGTTGTGTTTTTGCCATCCAACATAAATTTTTGGGTCTGCCCAACTTTGAAGTTCGTGCACCTATCTACAGCGGTCATGTGAAGCCCGGTCGCCATGTGATTGGTTCCCCAACTCGGGTGAGGAGGAAGAGGAAGGAGAGGAAGAGGAAGAGGAAGAGGAAGAAGAAGGAGGCGGCGGCTTGGGAATTCAATGCACTCGTAACTTGAACAAAAAGGTTTAATCTTGACGCTGCAAATTCACGTGAAGCTCTGCGCGACACACTTGAATGCAGGCAACAGCCAGCCCTGTTTCCGACTTGAATCCAGAAACAATAAAAGATCCAAGCACTCCAATCAAAATCCGATGATAAAAAGGTAAAAAACGCATCCTCATCTTTTACCTATCCCGTCGATGATGATTTTGTTGGTCACTGTTCCTATTTTGTTGGTCACTGTTCCTTGCTGCCGTTCTCTGCATCCGTTGCCGCTCCGACAGCTGTTGTATGAAGGTAGACGCAGGAAATGCGATGCAGACGTACAGAAACAGAGCAGGTCTGGTCCCTGCAAAAGGACCAAAGTACACGACATGCTCTGTTTTGCTACGTCACGGCCGTCGTCTCTACCGAGGGAGGGACGGAGGTGGTCACGGTGTGTCGAGCAATATTGTACCCATTCCTCCACCGAGATGGGAGCGAGTATGGTGTCGCAAGATGAACGGTGTACGGCAGGAGCAGAAGATTGCTTTCTAAAGAGGTTTATTGTGAACGAGGACACAACCGATGCACCCATCTAGCTTGCCTCACTCCGAAGCTATTTCTCCTCCTAAGCAAAGATTGTTCTTTGGTAGGTAAAAGCATTAAACTATGTGCGTGATCTGGATTGATCGTTGTATACGGACAGTGTGTGCCTAAATCTTGCACCTAAAAGAAGAAGAAGAAGAAGAAGAAGAAGAAGAAGACCCGTGGACTCGATGGCTGGAGGAAAAGGTGGTGGCGTGTGGGGCCGTCGTCGGGGCAGCAACAAGCCCACGTCACTTGTCCACTCTCGAAGGCAGACGAGGCCGACGCAAGCTGTGGTTTGTCTTTTGGTGCGTACCAAATGGCCTTTCCTATCATCAACCATTCGGTACTGTTTCGTCACGAGCACAACGATCCAGAGGAAGCCGACGGCTGAGTTAGCGGACACAACGAAAGCCATCTTCGGCCAAACGCCTACCGCACGTTGAAGGGTGATTTCTCTTGTAACAACCGTGGCCGTCTGTTGAGATCCTCGAACTATGTTGTCGCAATTCATCGAGCAGCTTGCGTGCCTGGATGGATGGTCTCTCTGTTTCGAGTGTACACTGGTGATTTGGCTTCCTTCGCCCGTACTTTGAACCCGTCTCCTGCACGCAAACTTTGGCATGTCCGGCGGTGATGTGATTTGGCCCAACCCGTTCTAATCTCATCACACCTGACTATTTTTGGTCCCCATTCGGACTCATCCCAAGAGTCGGGTTATATATATATATATATAGTGCTACTAATTGATGTCACCGCCTTCAAAAATCAGTTTGGTCAATATCTTGATGGCGGCGTCTCCTCTCCGTCACGGAGTTTATATCGCGCCCCCTATCTCAGTCCACCGGTCCTCTACCACTCGGTCTCGTGCGCTTCCACTCCATAATAGCTTCGATGATTCTTGGCCTCTCCACCGGCCGACTTTTGTCGTGTCCTCCTTTCGTCTCATCCGCTCGCGACGGCACCATCCGCAGAAGGGCCGCGCCCGGGTTGCCGTCTCCTTCCGCCCAATCCTCCGATGGCCTCCGATCTCGACGCTCGTGGGGGATCCCGCCTCGCCGAGTTGCCCCTGCGGTTCGCAGGCTCGCCGCTCCTCCCGCTAGGGTTTCGACCAAGAACGGCGCCTCCGGCGAGTTCTCGGAAGAGAGCGGGCCGCGGAACGCCAGCTTCTTGGAATTCCTCACCTCCGAGAGGGTTAAGGTGGTCGCCATGCTGGGCTTGGCCTTGGCCCTCTGCAATGCCGATCGCGTGGTCATGTCCGTGGCCATCGTCCCGCTCTCCAGAGCCCACGGCTGGACCCAGTCCTTCTCCGGCATCGTTCAGGTACCTGTATCCCATCTTGTCTTGCAAAGTCGAACTAGGGTTTGGGATTCAAGATCCTCTACACCAGTCGGGGATGTCAACATGACGTGACCTATAGCGCCTACAGATATTTACTCGCTTGACATGTGCGATTCTTTGGGAAACTTATGTGTTACGCAGAAACCCTGTCGATGCGCATGTTCTTGTTAGTTAGCTTTCTTGGCCTTTCAAGTGAAACGTTTCACGAGACAACGGGCATTTGGCCATTTTCTTGCGCTTTTACTATACTTTAGTCCGTGAATTTGTGCCTGTGAGAAAGAATCGCGAGTTAGGAAAATATTGCAGCCTGTAATGTATTAATGACTATTTATAATGATGAACCGATGTTCTTGTGATTATGTAATCTGGAACTTTTGCACCTTAAATTCTTGGTATTTAATTAAGCCAATTTTAATTTGTCCAAGATTCAAACCTACCACCGTTTTCTTCCTTCATTTTTTACTTTAGTTTTTCTCCTAAACCTATAAAACTTGTGGACTTTATGTAACATTTCAAGGTTTCCCTGTAAATAGACTATGGGTGCTGGTTAATTGTTTATTTAGTGTCGTCATCTTTTCCTCTAAATCTGTGTCAGCTTCCCAATGTAGTCATCTTTCCTGTGGGGATACCTCATGTCACCTATCGTTGGAGGAGCTTTAGTGGATTATTACGGTGGCAAGCTAGTCATGGCATGGGGTGTGGCCTTATGGTCATTGGCTACTTTTCTCACACCTTGGGCTGCAGAGACTTCTTTATGGACTCTACTTGCTATGAGAGTTCTGCTGGGTGTCGCTGAAGGAGTGGCGCTACCAAGCATGAACAACATGGTGTCAAGGTACTTATCTTCTTGACTGAAAATGTGTCTCTGTCATAATCTTCATGACCAAAAATTTACATTCGTTTGGATGTGTTACGCTGTGAGTTGCCTCCTTGGTTTTCCAAACTGTTTGTGCTGGACTTCTTATTCTGCAAGTCCTGCTTGAATATCCATATTGTTTAATCTGAGCTTTGAACTTTTAGGTGGTTCCCTCGATCAGAGCGGTCTAGGGCTGTGGGCATTGCTATGGCTGGTTTTCAACTTGGCAGCGCGGCTGGATTGTTGATTTCCCCTATCATTATGTCACGAACTGGTGTTTTTGGACCTTTTATAATATTTGGACTATTTGGATTTCTTTGGGTGCTGGTATGGGCATCCGCAACATCAAGTACACCCGAGAGACATCCCCAGATATCCAAGTCTGAGCTAGACTATATCGGACAGAGAGAGAAACAACCAGTATCCAAAATTAAGAAACCTGAAAAGATAATGATTCCACCTTTCAAGAAATTGTTATCTAAGTTGCCTACATGGGCCTTGATTTTTGCAAATTCCATGCACAGCTGGGTAAGTTTTACATGCCACTCATATATTGTTAGTTGACATTATTTTGAGGATGATTTTACTTGATGGGGTGCTCTTCCCTTGTCTAAACAGAGAAATATATGTGATTGTTGCTACAGGGCTACTTTGTCATCCTTTCGTGGATGCCAATCTACTTCAATACAGTAAGTATTCTTAGCTCCACTTTGTTTTTCTTGTCTGTGTTTGGTTGATGACCCAATTCGGAATAGGTATATCGTGTTGATCTACGGCAAGCTGCATGGTTCAGCGCACTTCCATGGGTGATGATGGCTGTTTTAGGGTATTTTGCTGGTGCTTGGTCAGACATGCTAATTCAAAATGGGTTTAGTGTTACCTTCACCAGAAAACTCATGCAGGTACCTTTCGTCAGATCTACCCAAATTTTTAATAGCAAGAGAACTAATGAAAAATCATGTCATTCTTTCTAGTGTACATGATGTATTCTAAGTTGTGGATAAGTACATTTTTGCTTGAATGACTAGAGATTTTGTGTTTCCATCAACTCGGAAAATTAAGGAATGTAGGGTCTTGGCAGGTACTTTTCATCAGATCTACCCAAATTTTTAATAGCAAGAGAACTCATGAAAAATGACTACTTCTGAAATTACTTTAGTTAGAATGCCATGTCATTCTTCCTAATGTACATGATGTATTCTAAGTTGTGGATAAGTGCATTTTTGCTTGAATGACTGGAGATTTTGTGTTTCCATCGATTCTGAAAATTAAGGAACGTAGGGTCTTGGGAGGGTCAGCATGAGTAGCTTTACCGATGTAAGAAGTTTTGTCTATGACTCAGACCCTAGTCACTCGTATTGTAAGAAACACTTTTAATGGATCGAGGCTCGCTCTCTAAAGAAGTTTATTATATCCAAGTACATTTCTGTATGGCCTTTCTCTGCATTCGGTGGCTATGGCAAATCTTTTCCTATTCTTTTGTACTGTATCTTTTGAAGTCATTGCTAACTTAATTTCAAATCTAATGAGGTATGGTCTTTTAACACGATAGCTAGTGTTTTCATATTGTGTATCCTATCATCGGAAATATCTTTTAGGTGAACCTCAAGCCTACTTTAGGATTGGTGTTAGGTGTCAAATGTTTAAAGACGAATTGATGTGATGTGGTACTGGGTTCCTTGAAGAATCTTGTTGAATATGAAAAGAATGAACTTATCTCTCTTAACTACTCTTGGCTGGTTCTTGTAGCAGTATACTTGGTTTTGTTTCTAGATTATAGTTTGGTGAGAATATAATTGTTTGGTATTTACATTTTTTTTAAAAAAAATTGTTTATGTGTTGTTCTTCAACAACTCATGATACCTAATATACCCTGCAAACGTTACATGCAAATGCTTGGGCCAGATTTACCACCTACGCGATAGAGTTGCCCATCATGCTTAGGCTGCACTCCTGGTATCACATACACACATCACATATATTAATCATGTAGAACTATAAATATGGGAGATGGATGACATCTATCGAGCATATTTCTGTTTTTATTATGTAGATGATTGTATATTTGCTTTAGCCAAGAAAATATAGGTTTGAAAATGCGATATCGGTTGAATTTCCATGAAATGACTTAGGTCAGATTGGACCATAAAGAATGGAAAAGTGGATAATAAAAGATAAATTTACAATAATTAAATAAACCTAAAATATCAATAAAAATAAATAAAAAATAAGAAAATTCAGGAAAATGAGAAAATTGAACATTTTTGTCATGATATTTTTTTTTTTGCACATTGTCATATGATAGGAAGAATACATACCTTTTTTTTTTTTTTTAGGATTTTGCATGAAGTTCTTATATAGATAGATAGGGCAATTTCTCGAAAAAAAATCCCTATTTTTTTATTTTTCCTGGAAGAAGTCTCGCGTTTTTGGATTTCCCATTTGGTGTCCCCTTAAACCCCTTATACTTGCAATGCCCTTAACTTGACTCTCCAACTCCTGCCCACACCCTTAAAAGACAGTTTTGACAATGTTTTCACATATACAGTGTTTTTGTTGAGGTGGAGAAAAAAGCATAAAGTTTTTCAATAACACTGTTTTTTAATAGAAGCTTTTTTTTGGGAAAAGCCCAAAAAGGGGGGGCCTTTTTCTCGAGAAATCTGTCTTTTTACAATTATATGTGATGAATAGAACCTTTTGATTTCTTTTCTTAAAAATATAATGAGATATACTTATTAAAAAAATAAAACTACACGCATTAATAGTTTCTTGGTTATGTGTACAAGGGATAAAATCTCATGAAGGATTTTCCTAGTGTACATCGCTTAGCTCTTGTGCCCTGTATCATTAAGCAGCTTCTTCTTCATTAGCTTGCAGAGAACTTTTAACAGAAAGGAAAAAAAAGAAACATTTTGCTTAGTAGAGTTTACTTTTAATTTTGGTGGGGTTCCACTCTGTACAACACCATGAAAAATTGAAATTCTGCATGTGCAAGCTTTTTGGTTGTTTAGCTTTCATTGATGTACAGTACTTTTTTATTAGGCACTTGTAGCAATTTAAAATGCTGAGATATAACTCTTGAAATCATATCTATATGCAGTCGATTGGTTTTTTGGGTCCTGGTATTTCCCTTCTCGGTCTGAATGTAGCAAAAAGTCCTTCTGTGGCTTCGTCTTGGCTTACGGCAGCTGTTGGGTTGAGTTCTTTTAGCCATGCTGGCTTTTTGGTAAACCTCCAGGTTGGTCAAGCGCATGGGGACTGGACTATTTATTGGTTTCCGAAATATCATGATGCGTTTGAAGTAATCCTAACAACTGCAATTTTTTTTAATATTATTTCAGGAGGTCGCCCCACGATTTGCCGGTGTACTTCATGGTAAGTGTATTTCTTCTTCTCTCATGATATGATTTTGAGTGTGATGGTCTTTGCTAATGCGGCTGGCGGTATCAGGAATGTCGAACACTGCTGGAACAATGGCGGCAATAATGGGAACCGTTGGAGCTGGCTTCTTTGTTGAGAGAATGGGTTCTTTCCAGGGTTTCCTAATTCTGACGTCATTGCTATATTTCATTAGTACACTTTTCTGGGATCTTTTTGCTACTGGAGAGCGCATTGATATTATTATGGATGGTGGTGGTGCTGATGATGAAGAAGAATCTTCTTCCCCAAACTAATTTTGCTCCCTTTTTTTAGTATTATTATATTTCTAGCTAGTGTATCTGATCTCTGTTTTTTTTTTTTTTAATTTGATGCGTTGGTAGTAAGTGTGTTTTCCGTCTGTAGGGACGTCATGTTACAGCTGATGGGATACATCTAACGGAGAATTAAATAGCCCTGCCCCCACTCTCTTCACCTTCACCCTTTCATCCGTCGTGCTCCCCTTCTGCCATTCAGAGATTGTTATTTACATTTATTTATAAAAATAATAATAATAATAATCATCATCATCACATTCAACTTCTTCTTCGTATAAGAAGCATGTGTAGAATCCAAAATTGATAAAGCAATTTCAATTTCAGGCTCTGCATAAGACATTTTCAATTATGTCAGTTGGATAAAACTAACAAATGACAACGCCATTTACAATGTGCAATGAAAAACTATTGAAAACAATTTAACATTTGATCTATTTATCTGATGGTGGCATGGCCGCTTTGCATCTACTACTGCGTCAGGACTCGAAAACAGGGAACTACAAAAAAAGGCTTTAAGAACAAATTACACCAGCTTTTATCGATGAAAAGTAGCCATTTGAAGCTAAAACTATTACCAAAATATCATTAGCAAAATGTTGGGAGAGGATGGACAAAATATCATTAGCAAAATATCAGAAAGTCATCAAGTATGACGTTATCCTTCATGTTATTTCTAATTTATTATATTATAGTTTTCCAGTCAAATCAAACAAACGCAAAAACTGCTTGCTACACGATACAAGAAGAATGTTGGAGAAGGGTGCTATTCAAAAGTAGTCAGGGATAATTTCATCATTAACTGTGAGATGATATTAACATAGTCAAAATTACAAGGAATCCATGAAAGTATATTCAAAACTTCACTAGAGATTTCTTGAAATCACAAGTGAGAAAAAGGGACACAATACAAAAAAATTCCTCTTCGACAGAAACTGGTTACCAACTGTTTGACACAGTCACAACCTTCCATAAATGAAACTAACTTGTGCGGGAATGGGAATGAAATTTGACTCGTTAGGAGAGCTTACCACATCAACAGGAGAGCCCAATACAAACTGAAAAAGCCCCCCAGCACCAAACCTGATAAAAGATGAGTAAAAACAAGAATGTCCAAAAGTGAATGTATATAATTGAACGGTTCTGAAGAAAATAGCAGAGCGACATTAAACAACCCATTATGATGAGACTTTCACTAGTCAACTCGGCATAATTCATTCATTGTAGCATTACGTGCAAAATAACTTGGACCACTCACTCAGGAAAGCCCCAAGTCTCTCCTAGATTGTAAAATTTCAAACGTTCAGTGAGAAACAAATATTTAAAATATTAATCACTATTTGTTAAATACAACCTGTCTAACAATTGTCCAATAAGCTTTCAGCGCTCCCCAATAACGTCCGTACTATCACAAGATCAATTGGATTTGACACACTACTTGCCAAGGCAACTAATTTTATTATAACGATCAAGTTAGGATGTCTAGTGGTCAAGAAGTGAACTGGAACGATACGATCTACTGACACCATCTACACAGCATCAGTCAAACCCACAAGTTCAAACATCCATGGATAGCCAACCAGTTGTTTAGCCCAGCAAAAAATTTTCTTGGTCAAAGGAACATCTCCCATGAAAATTTCACCAACATACAAGGATTTAACCTGAAAATAAGGGATAAATATATATCTTTGGACGATCTCAGAATAAAATAATACAACATCTTTAAACTGTCATACCTATCTATCCATACCTCCAAAGTTACCCAACAATTGGGGGTGGCTGTGGGTGAAGGCCTTGGTGTCCGATGGAACGATGCAAAGCTACAATGAATCACAAAGGAAAAGAAGAGACATAATATTGTTAGTTTGGCAAGTCCCACATCAGGAAAATCAAGTTTGATATCTCCTGTTTAAACTATAAATAAAGGCTTGAGCTTTGAAATCAGATGCATCGTAAGAAAACCTAATTGTTTGTTTTAGATTTTTCTTCTTTAGTAATTTCGTATTTTATGGCGGAAGATCTTCCTAAGGCATTTGTAATAGTACCTCTTTTATAGTAGTGATTTGTTCCTCCTATTTATTTTTCTGCTTTATTGAGTTGAAATTTGTTTCCCTCTGTCTTTCTTTCTTTTGGTTGACAAAAAATTACTATCAGAAAACGTTGTTGCGTCCTGTAACCATGTCTACATAACTGCCATTCAATCCTGTATATGCTCACAGTAAGTGACCTAAGAACCATACGTGCAGTATTTAGGAGAACAAGCCTGGAAGATCTTAGATCATTCTAAGATCTGTAGCGCAAGAAGAGAGAGATTCTCCGATCTCGATGTTATCGTTTCTTTCAACAAGGAAAGAATCTTAATCGCATCCATCCATTTGACGAGAAGAGCAAACGGAATACAAGCATCGAACAGAAGAAACAAATAGCAATATTAGTAAGTAATGGAAGAAGGGAAAGAGAACCATTTGCCCTCGAAAATCATCACTTCATTCAAGAAATAAGAAACCGTTTTACACATCACATCTACGTGCTTCATTCGGAGAGCTAGATCACTATAAGCATCAAACAGTAGCAAATAACCAGATCGGGAACCGACGGAAGAAGTCACGAAAAACAAAAAAAAGGGGGAAAAAGAAAACAAGAAACCCTCATATCTCAAAATTATTACTCTCAAGAAGGAAACGATTTTTAAGATCGCATCGATCGGAGGCAAATAACAACATTAGTAAGCAATGGAATAGGTAACCATGAAGAAAGAACAAGAAACTCTCGCATCCCAATATTGGCAACCAAGAAACTCCCGAAACTATTACTTCTTTCAAGAAGGATTGAATCCTGAAGATGGTATCTATCGATTTGATCGGGAGAGCACAAAAGGACTTCAAGCATTATCCGATCAAAGAAAGATATTAGTAAGCGGTGGAACAAGTGACGAGAAGGGATGAAAACCAAGAAACCCTCGTATCTCTAAGTTATGGTTTCTTTAAATAAGGAAAGAATCCGGAGATCGCATCGCATCGCATCAAATGATCGATCGGTAGAACTAGAGGACTAAAGGCAAGAAGCAAACGCAAATAACAAAAGGTAAGGCGGGTGATCGACAGTTACCTCCGCGAAGCAGCCGGCAATGGCGATGGTCGCTAACCTCCCGACGAAGGCGATCTCGATCTTGAAGCCGTGTTCAGCCATGGCTCGCCGCCACCCGCGGGGGCGAGGGAGAGACGGAGGCTCGGAGAGGGGAGATGGAGGAGGGTCGCCGGAGGAACAAGAAATTGGGGAAGGAGCATTTCTTGGGGAGGGGGGCTAATAAATAGGGAAGCTAAGATTTGGCGCCAGAACGCCTCGATCCAAAACGAAAACAGATGAGTGGAGCGGCACGGCCACCCGCATCGTGATTGGATATATATGGGACCCCCTTTACATCCACTCACAACGCTGGTGATCTCATGGGTTCCGGTGACGCATATTGGAAGTATTCTTGATGTGGAGACATGTCTTCTTCTCCCGCTCTCTCGTTCTCACTCTCAAGCAGCTCAGTCATATATATATATATATATATATATATATATATATAGTGTTTAATACGACATCAAAAAATGATGGTCATGGAGTCATGTTCGATTACAGTTGGGTGTGGGAAGCAATAAGGACATCGTCTCATTCGAGTGCGTGCGAGCCAAAAGTGAGCGAATTGATGGCTCCGAGCACATAACACGCGACTAAGAACGTAGTTGGGCCGAGGTTGATGGATTCTACCTCCTCTTGATTTGAAATTAAATGTTGGGCCCGAAAGAATAATCGAGCTCGAATCATTATATTACTCAATCGAGTTCAAATTTATTCCCTTTTTTTATTTAAGCCAATTTTGAAATCTTAATTTAGGCAGCATCTATTTTCCTCCAAACTAAGGACTTGTGTGCAAGCCTTCATGGTTAATCTCTGATAACCACTGTATAATAATTTCTAATATAAATTTTAATCTGTATTAGTATCCTATAATACTTTATTATATATATATTATATTAGCCACAGTTAGATATAATAGTTTTTTGTATATATATATGTATGTATATATAATAGGCCCGTTCTTATTGCATAAAAGCGATAGGTTGAAGAACACAAACACGCACAAAAGATGAAAAAGAAAACAGAAGCTCATAAGCTGGTAAAGTTTAGAACGCTATCGAATTTATGGGTCAATTCGATACAAGTAGATGGCATCTTTACAACTAGCAAGAATGGATGGATGGTGTTGGATCCATGTCGCTTTTGTTGGTGGGAGTTCCTTTTCTCCTACCTCACCTGTGAGAAGAAGCTATTCCGTGTTTTTGCACTTCCCAAGGCATTGCGAACTTATGGAGACTAAGATGGTGACGATGGCAGGCGAAGACTGTGTGTCCTGTTGGGAGTACAAACTCGAAACATGGAATCAATGTCGTAGGACAGGGATGGAGCTACGACTGGTTGTGATGGGCGAAGATCCCCATCTCGGGTTCATGGAGGCAGGGCCCTGCATCACCAGCTTTTTGGCACAGTGGATGCATGTATCCACCTGAAATGGAGGGACCAAACACAGAGAATCCTGATCCATTTGTTTTGTTCTGAGTTAGATGGTTGGTCACTTTAGGTCTCGACGCAGATGCTGTCCAAATGGTTTATGAGACTATGGCTGCAACTAAAACAAGAAGAAAAATAAGGATTCATATGTTCTTTCTCATCCAACCTAACAGAACAAAGATGCATTGTGTGGTTTTGGTCTTAGAGTTGAACAGCTTAAATCTGCTTCTCTCTGTATTTAGTTTGGGAATCTCGACATGATGTAGCCTTAGGATGAGAAGCAGCAGCAAACATGGTATCGTTCATATGGGATGAGTATGTTCTGTGGAACAACAACACAATACCAGTACCTTCTTTCCAGCAACAAAATGTGACTTTCTTCATTCCAATCAGCAAATGGGACGCTGACAAGATCCGGAGCAGATCTCCTACACTTTCAAAGGCCAAGAGATTAATTAGCAGGTTTCCGCATGTTGAAATAGCATTTTGTGGTCATGAAGTTTCATGACCGCAGAGGATGACGGGAGAAGGATTACTAGCGCACACAGTATAACTTGGTTGTCCTGTATTTGACTTCTTCTGCAGATGAGCACCGAAACCTGGAACCTTTGCTTGCATCCTTGTTGAGATTAAAAAGGAAGAAAGATAGATAGTATGCAAGCAGTACATAAAAGCATACGTAGTCGTGTAATATATGCTAAGAACGCTCGGAGAAGAGACTGCGGATGAGCCAAAGCAAACGATGAGCAAATTACAGGAAGCATACCAAGGCAGAGAGCGAGGGAAGAAGCTAACTCATTTGGAGTTCCTTGCACCGTCCTGGCGAATCATGGAAGACAGAAGAAGCTGAGGGATCGGTAGACGATGACGATGACTGAATGATGCCATGAAATGGCTGAAGGAGGGATCCAAAAGGATCGCATGATCCAAGCTCGCTAACACGATCGGATGGATGGAGAGAGAGAGAGAGAGAGAGAGAGTGTGGATCAATGCGATCCCTTTGGATGCTTCCTGGAGCCACAGGCGAACACATCAGAATGCAACAGTAAAGAGAGGTGTCCCCCTGGAGAACCAGGAATATGTGCCCTTTTAAAGACTCTCGCGCCCGATGCTGTAGCTTCCTGTGACGTTTAGTTTATGGTGAAGTTACCAAAAAGCCCGCACATACAATTCATGCTTCTTCACGTCACCACAAGTTAATTACCTGAGGCAATCACATGGGGTTGCAGTCTCTCGAACTCCTCTCCTTCCCTTCGTTTCTCTCCTTGGAGTCATTCCGCGGCATCGATCGTAAGTCGGCTGCTGGTGCTGTTAATTTCAGCTACTGTGCTCTGGACTTGTGACTGTGTCGGCATAATATAAACGCCTGCTGCCATGAAGATTTGGAGACCGTGAACCCTATGCTTCGTTGCGTTCTTAGTCCAAACAAGATTCAACATTCGCAAGATTACTGTTGCGTCCTGTTTGTCGGCAGTGTTAAGTGGAGGAAGACGGCAAGGTGACCACAGAGTGCAGATGGAACTTTTGCGGGTCAATTTGCTGTTTGTACCTTATCGCTCAGTTGTTTCTCAAATGTGGTGAAATCATTAAAGCGGCGTCCATGGTGGTGGCCGGTGCTGTCGGAGTTGATTTGAAATGGTGGATTCATGGTACGATCGCGCGGTGGTCATGGTGCCTTCTCGGCTGGACACGAATGCCAGTTCCAGCAACCTTTTGTCGCCCGGCTCTATCACCGCTGGGCCTCACGACCATGGAATCCTGCAGCGTATGTCTTCCCGACATTGAATGTCTTCCTCCGAGATGGAGCGAGCAGAGCCTGAGGCACCATCAAGTTTCAGCTGCCATGTTTCTGCAAATGGAGAAGGTTGTGGGTGTGGGACAACCAGTCGCTTCTCCCTCGCACATGCACTGCAATAAAGCCCATGTCCTCCGTTGCCATCCATCGAACGACCAGATGCCGCTGCGCGTCCTAGATACTCACTCTAGCTCACAACTTCCATGCCCACCACTTTTGTATCATCACCATTACTTTCCAGTGATCGAAGACAATCCCCCCTTTCGCGCTTCGAGCAGGAAAGCGAGGCTCTCCAACAACTTCCATCCCTCGTTTTTCCGGTGTGCCATCATGACGACGCCGGTAAGATAATGTTGAAATGGTTGCAGAGAAATGCCTCGCTTCCTAATTTCCTGCTTCTTGTGGTCCATCTTCAACGCTTGCATGAATTGAAGTGGGCACCGAAGATGCCAGGGGTGGGTCGACCGGAAGGGCCCCTCTCCGCCCCCCCCCCTCCTCTCAGCAATTGCAGCTCGCTTTTCTTTTTCTTTTTCCCTTGATTGCTAATGATGTGAGGGTTGTCCTTTACACCACCTTTTATCATTTTCTACATGTAAGGATATGCTTTCCCTCTTTAAGTTACTAATAGATGTGGGAGCTCCCAAGACCATCGCGCTGTTTGTTTACAGCGTGAGGAAGCTCGTGATACATGGCCATCATCTGTGCACACAATCTCTGTCTCTAGCGTGCCATCCTTCCTTGTTACAGTCTTCCTCTCTGAGAAAACAACTCCACTCGGAACCCAAGGATCACGAAACGTTTTACGAGGTGGATTACCGGACACTGCTGCTTTGTATCGGAGGGTCTAACGTTGCTTGATTATAAGCGTGAAGAAAGCTGTCGGCTCTGCAACGATGATGATTACAATAAGCAACAAAAGAAACCCGAATGGATCATCATCATCTCATCAACCTGATTATTGAGATGTCGGATGCAGGCTAGTATAAACTCAATCCGATAGTGCAGCAATCAAGATGATATGATCGTCGCCAGCTTTGCATCCTTTGTTTAATGGGTACTAAAGCAAATGCAGATTCGATTTCCTGATCTGATTCTGCAGCGCTCACATGATACATGTAGTATTTGGTCGCTCTACTTAAAAGGTAATTGGCCAAGATTGCAAGGCTGGTACTGCACATGTTCTTGTTCGTTTTCAATCGTCTGGAGCTGATCTTTCGGCACAAAAGGGAACGACAGGATGACACATGCTATCTCTGTCCGATGCCAACCTAATGATGAGTACAGGCTATAAACAAACGGAGGGAGACTGGGAATCCGTCGTCCTGTATGCTATCACACACGCAAAGACGACTTGCGGATGGTGTTTGGAGGGATACGTCGAAGATTTGTTGGCCTTGTTTATGAACACGCTCTCTTCGAGCTACTACTACGCACCCTCCTACAGCTCCACGAGAGATCCGAGCATGGTCCATCGACCAGCAGCCTACTTGATTTCCAGCCATGGATGGATGGCTCATGGGCTGAGCCACGACGATGCTGCCGAGCAGATCTTGGGCCAAGCGTCATACGTGGATTCAGTCCCACGTCATATCATATTCTAGACAGAGAGTCCATGGCGGCACTCGAAATACTAGATCCTGGCATGTGCCATGCACGTATGTTCCCGGAGGAGCTTCCCTGTGCCATCCGCCACACACACACGAGAGGTGAGATCGACCGATGGGGTCATGCAGCCGTATCACTGTCGATCGCCGGAAGTGGCTCACGTGTTGCAGAAGGGAGTGAGCATTCTAGCATGCTTCTGCTTGACGACAACAAGTTGAATCTTGCTATCAAGAGCACCGAGTGGGATTTCTGAGGGTTTCGTCCTCTCTGCCTCTGCTTGTTAACAGTGTCCAGCTAGTACTTTTTGACAGTATGGAAATATGGCAAGCGATTACCTTCTCTAACATTACTACTCTCTTGGAGCTATCTGGCTCGTGACCAGTGGCAACACCAGAACTTTGCATTCGGATTCCTTGCACGCATCAATTTCGTCTTTGGTCTGCGTGCAAGTTTTCATATGCTTTGTGTTCTTTCATCCTCGTCTGCTAATATGATTGATTAGGGTATACAGGTCCCCCGGACACCATCTTCTGATCTGCTCTGCTCTGCTCTGCTCTGACAGGAGGAAACAAACAGGACAAACCTGAACCTTATCTCTCGGCCTCGACTCTGTCGGATCTCCAAGCCATGTTGCGGATCATGATCATGACAAGCAGTAATCGAGACATATCCACCATCTCCCTTTCATGGACAACTCTATAAAGCATCACCATCGTCGTCTGTACCGATCCGCCTGCATTATGTGGCATCCCCATTGTCTCTCAAGATATTTGGCCAATGAAACACCAACACGTATAAAGCTAGAAATTTGCTCTCCCCCTCCTCCCTGTAAGACAATATGTTATCCGTTGAAGAAGAAACACTAACAAGTTTCTATCCTACGGGCCATCAACTCCTGTAGAGCTCCTTTAAATATATGAAGTTGTTGAGGACAAAACCAAGTAAACTATGTATGTTATACAGCAGGAGAACGTGCATGGCTTAAACATGGTGGTTCTCAAGGAACACAGGTGGTGCAACAATGTCAACCGGCCGCCATAATTTATTGCTGCATCATTTCCCCATGGTTCGATGTTCGAATGACGTCTTCTCAACGCATCAACCGTAGGCCCTGGAAAGAGAGCAGCTCAAGCTTCATCTGAGCTTAATATGATTCACAGCGCATGCATGTCTCTTTGCAAAATCCTGTTGGTGGTGCGAGCTACACCTTCGTGTTGTCACTATAAATTGAAGTGGCAGACGCTGATCCACGAGCGACATGAACGCAAACAAGGTCGGTGATTTGCTGGGATCGATCTAAGAACATGAGCTGTCCATCGGGGGCGTGGTTGGTGCAGGTCCCGACAACCACGGCAGCATGTTGGGCCTACAGATCGTTCCTGTGTGATCCTGTTAAATTAGAAATGTGAAGAAACTTATTGCCGAGAGAGATTTCAGCAGAGCTCAAAGATTTGTTTAGATTGCGTGGAGAAGAGTCAGCGAGTGAGGTTGAAGCATGCGGCAAAAGGGAGCGTGCGGCCACGACTCGATGAGCCGAGACATGGCCCCATCGCATTCTTATACTATTTCTCGCCACCCCGCAAGCCTTTTGCTGAGGCCGACGACAGCATCCTATGAAGAGAAAACGAGAACAGAGCAGCGGTAGGAAGTAGCAAGGAAGTTTCCAAGGAGGAGGAGGAGGAGCACTTAAAGTTTTCCGGCTTCTTTCTTCTTCCTTCCTTCTTTCCATGAGGAAGCTGTGGCCCAACCTGGACCGGGAAGATGGACTGGACACCGTCCTGGAGGTGCCAATCCCGGAGGAGATGTTCCTGTCCGGCGACAGCTCCAAGAGCAGCAAGACGCTCTGCACCAACGTGAAGGCCTGGGTGCGGCCGCACGTCGACCGATCCCCGCCGTCGCCCATCGGCAGGGGAGCGGAGCTCCAGCTCATGCTCGGCGTCATCGGTGCGCCGCTCGTCCCGTTACCCGTCCAGGCGTATAAATCCACCCTCATCCGCGACATGAAGGAGGACCCTATCGTGAGACTCCGACCAACGTTTTCTTCGCAATCACGTCTTGTTTCGTTGATGTCTTATGCCTCGTCCCTTTTGCACTGCGAATGGCAGGAAGTCTCCATGGCTAAATATATCGTGCAGCAGTACATCGCGGCGTCGGGAGGGGAGCAAGCTTTGAACGCGATAAACAGCATGTACGCCATGGGGAAGGTCCGGATGACGGCGTCGGGGTTACCCAAGGGGAACGGCGGCGGCCACGGGGACGCCACCGACGGCAAGAAAGCGAAGAAGTGCGGCGGCGCCGGCGAGATGGGCGGCTTTGTGCTGTGGCAGAAGAAGCCAGACCTGTGGTGCCTGGAGCTGATGGTGTCGGGGTGCAAGATCAGCGCCGGGAGCGACGGCAAGGTGGCGTGGAGGCAAACCCCATGGCACCAGTCTCACGCCTCCCGTGGCCCACCTCGCCCCCTGCGCAGATCTCTTCAGGTTCGTATCTCTGTTTCTCTCGCTCGTCGCCACCGGCTTGACTCAAACTAGGAGACGACGCCACGGCGGTCCCTTTCGTTTGAAGGCTGGAACCCATTCATGTCCTGATTCCACGTGCTGAGTGCAGACGGACACCACATGGCGGTGTTCGTCGCTGGGAGATGCGAGGCATCACATGCATGACAAAGCTGAGCTTAATACAGAACCAAATCCAACACACACACCTTATTCGTCGTCTGACACAGGGACTTGATCCGAGATGCACGGCCAATCTATTCGCCAACTCGGTGTGCCTGGGCGAGAAGACCATCAACGGGGAGGACTGCTTCGTGCTGAGGCTGGACGCGGAAGCGGCCACCTTGCGAGCCCGAAGCAGCAGCAGCGTGGAGATCATTCGGCACACCGTGTGGGGCTACTTCAGCCAGCGGACGGGCCTGCTGGTCCAGCTCGAGGACTCCCACCTCCTCCGGATCAAGTCCGCCGTCCAGGAGAGCGTGTACTGGGAGACCACCATGGAGTCGCTCATCGAGGACTACCGCCCCATCGACGGCGTCAACATCGCCCACGCCGGGCGCACCAGCGTGTCCCTGTTCCGGTTCGGCGAGACCAGCGATGGGCACACGCGGACGCGGATGGAGGAGACCTGGACCGTGGAGGAGGTGGACTTCAACATATGGGGGCTCTCCATGGACTGCTTCTTGCCTCCGGCCGACCTCAAGGAGGAGAAGGAGGGCGGTGACGTTGGCGGAGTGGCAGCGGCGGCCACCAAGAGTGCGCGTCCACCTTTCAGGGTCCAACAGGCCGTCGCTAGGATCGGGATTTCGCAGGTGGCAGCGGTCGACGTAGATGAATCGGACTCGACGTCGACGGAGGAGGAGGATGGGAGCCAATGACTGCCGCATCAGTGAAGAGAGTGATTTGATCAGTGTAAATACTGCATCAATGTAGACAAATTTTGGAGTGCTGGGGATTATTATTAGGCGAAGCTCTCCATCTCTCTCTTCCGGTCTAATCAATTTCGGATGAATCGAGGCAATGTCCAAAGCTCGTCTCCAACATGTAAATGTTATGCGTTTATAGTCATTCAACTTCGGATGTAATTGAATAACCTAAGGATTCCAACAATCTCGGGCCACGTTTCGGCAAGGAACATCCACAGGATGGATACATCCAAAACAAGATTTGATGGTAGGACGTGATCGATTTCGATCAACTCCACAGGGCAGAGTCCTCAACCCTTCGTCTTTGTTGTACGCGTGGTCGCGCGACGAAGCCCAAAAGTTAGTAGCTCACCAACCATGGGAAACATATGGGGCGGTCGGTGTGACTCGCGGCCGCCCTTGACCAACTTGTAGAGCCAGCTGCCGCGGCAGCCGACTGCGTCCGCCGTCGTCATATAAATCCATCGATGGTCGACTACATGAACCGGGTTTGGTCCCCCGACCTGCGAGGTCACGTGGACCGCACCGAACAGGGCAATCCCTTGCGTCGTACGCCTCGGGAACGACGTGACGACGGCGAGAGCCATGGAGCGGGCATTCATGGCTGCCTTCAACAGACCACGGCCATGCATCTACAGAATCGAAAGGTGGCGAGAAACGCGCCGTGAAATGCGCCCATGACTCGCATACGACGAATGCATAGAAATGAGAAGGTAAAGCAGAAAGGACACCAATCGCGGTTGCACTGCCGTCCGATGGTAACTGCAGCCGATTTGACCGGGGCGGAAAGGACAGAGAAGACGGATGGGTAAACCGAAGGCCTCGAGAGCACCACGCACGGCAAGACCCCACGCTGCCTTGGCTCGTCAAGCATCGATCACCTCCGCACATCGCTCGAGAACACTCGTATTCAAAGAAAAGCTGCTGCAGAAGACACACAATCGATGTGGTTTGGCGAGCGACAACAAAAAGGAGGGATGGATGTTAATTTCTTATCGCAAAACACCGATCCCACACTGATTCTTCGCCACAATGACACATCCATGACGATTATTTCCGCCTACGCTGCCGCCTCCTTCCCTACCGCTGTTGCTCCTATTAATACACTAATCTTTTCCTTCTCTCCTACGCGCTATGCTAAGAGCTGGCGCAAAACATCAAGAGTGAATCGCAAGCAAGTCAATAGGTCCACTCCTGGGGGAGTCCAACCTCGTGGGCCACGACTGCTGCTGCGGCAGCGGCGGTCGGCTGGGCTCCGAGGCGGTGGTGCTTCTTGGTCTGATGCGATGGCACCGCGCTGCTTGGACGGATGCGAGCATCTGCCGGACAAACGAAAAGATAATTACGCACGCAATCGACGGACACAAACGCATCAGGACAGTAATTACCATGACCGACCACAAGGCGACCAGGGAAGTCCGGCCGTCCTGCTAACACCTCTAGGTTCAGGCTCGAAGCTTGAACCTTCCTCGCAGGAACCAGCGCGGTCGGACGACCTACCAACATCACGAAACCGCAAAGATGATATTAGGCGATGACGCCAGGAGGATTGAGGGTGTTACGACGCTATGCGCTAAAGACAACAGATGGCTGGCACTGTTTGTGACCAAGGACAGAGGAGGAATGCGGCAGAAGAGAGGCACGAGAATCCTCGGACCCAGGAGATCGTTGTGGCGCAGCGCTTTACCAGTGGTTTTCCTCGGGTCGAGCACGTTGCAGGCGGACCGGGGAAGGAACACGCCGGTGCCGATGGGCTCCTTCCGCGCGTGGGAGCCGTCGAGGAACACGGTCCGCATTCCGGCCACTGGTTGCGGCGGTCGCTGCTTCGGCAGCTGTGGCTCTCGAAGTGGCGGCCACGCGGAGGGCGACAGATCCAAAGGCCACCCGCACCGGCCCTCCCCGTCCCGTCCACCGCAACATCTGGCTTTGCTCTGCCTCCCCCATGCCGCCGACAACTGCTGATTCATCGTTTGCTGACGCTTTAGGTGGTAAAACTGACACAACAATAACGGAGGCCACAGACCATAAGAACAAAGCAGACACGAGCCCCGGGGGGGGGGGGGTTGGGGACAATGGAATGAAAGAGTACGAGACTCACTCGAGCTGCTTGCAGTTGCTCAAGGGTGAAAACCGGCGTGGAGGCGTCGTAGCCGTCATCGATGTTCCTCGAGATCGCGAACGTAGCCGGTAAGGGCAGCCTCGGCGGACCGAGGACCCCACGGTCGTACACGGTACGGTGACGGCCGAGATCGCCGAGCCGTCTTAGCAGCATCACCTGGTCCGCCGCCTCACAGAGCAGGTCGCAAGGGTCGTCCTTGCTGCGCTGCGCCAGCGGGGACGAGGACGGCGGCGACGACACTAGCGAGGGGCCGTTGGGGCTCCCCTTGTTAGAGGTGGACCACGCGCAGAGCGTGGACTGCGGCGACCGCGCCATGGCCTGCGGTAGCGACGAAAACCAACCCCTCCAAATCACTGGATCTGAAGCGGAGGAAGAAAGAAAAACCGGCAACACGAGAGACAGCTCTCTACCTTAGCATGCTCCGGAGCCGCAACGGGGGCGTCCTCGTGGGCGCAAGGAAGGAAATAGCGAGCCATCTGCTGGGCGAGCCCAGCCACGTCGTCGACGGTTTCCCCACCGTTCTTGGGTCCTCCCTCGAGGAAGAAGGCATCGCAGAGGAAGTGAGAGGGCAGCCAAAGCTCTTCACCTTGGTACTCTTTCGCCATCACGCACGCAAACAACCGGAGGAACGCTTCTTCTCGATCCGGGCGCGGGCGGAAGTGTAAGCGGAGAGGGGGGCTAGAAATAGCAAGAGGAGGGCAGTTGGGTGCGTTGGGGGGGAGTGGGTTTGCGGGCAGCGGAAGGAACAATTATGCTACCACTCGCCGCGGCCACAAGTAGCTTCAAGCTCGCTTGAGTCCGCCGGAAATGGTCGGGCCATTCCAATTTACGGGCGGTTGAATGAGTGGAGTAGTCCGGGTTGGGTCAACAGATCTCGGACGAGTGGCCATGTGGCTGTGGCTGGTTGATGACCACCATTTGTTTAGTTTGCATCGCAGGGAGCGGACGTGACGTCGAAGGAGATTAACCACACAATCAAAAATTATATTACGAAAGAATTGCGCAAATATATTTATATGAATGTAACATTTATGTGCACGAAAGCTCTCCATCGATGGCGAGAGGGATTACTGCTTCCTAGTTGATGATATATATAAAAATCGAGATTAAAAATGTAAAAGTCAGCAACAAAAAACGAAAGATAAAATCAAAATTAACAGATTGAAGATGATGACAGAGGTTTAACGTGAAGTAGATGAGGATGGGTGGATTAACAATCCAGTAAACAAAAAAAAAAAAGAAAGAAAAGTAGTTTAGGTCGACAGAATTCCTTAAGAGGGTTATGATTGAGCATAATAGCACCTGCCTGCCTTTGCTTCACTCTCAAGTTGGAAGATTACAGAAACCAAAGCATGTTTTTGATTTTTTTGGTCTAAGGAGAGAATCCATCTTTTGCTTTAATAACAACAACCCCTTTTGGTGAATCAAATGATACATCAAACTCTGTATGTTGTTATCATGTACCTGTGCGGCTCTTTTGATCATATGGTATGCCGCCACTCTTCGTCCTAATTATTGTGTTGGGAGATAAAAACTTGTAAGGAGACTTTAAACCAACCTTTTTATCTGATTATTATTATTTTTTTTCTCTTAAGAATAAATGGCGAAGAAACTAGTTGAAAATTTTATGATGAGGATTTAAAAAATATTCAACCTATATGAACAAAAAAACCTTTTTATTTAGTTTAAGATTACTTAATCGAATCTATCATCAAAGCATGTAAGTTTGGGATGTGTTACCATCAGAAAATGTCCGGAGTGGTTGCTCAACCAAAAGCCACGGTTGACGGGGGTGAGAGCGATCTTTTACCGACACTCGACCTAAACCTTCTGCATCCAATGGAATAATAATAGGCTGCACACACAGCTTCTTCACAACTTATGATTAGGTCTGGAGACACACTACTTACCCATGTCATCCGTCTTTGCTGTAGAGTAGAAATTGCAAGCGTGATCCATGTCATCCCCCAATTGCAAGCGTGATCCTTTTTGACTTGCTGCCACTGCAACTCTGGACACAATCAACCATTCTTAATCAGATGATAACTAAGGTTTCAAGGGAAAGTGAGCTAAATGCTTCTGCCGCATGCCTATGAGTACTCCGGTGATGTAAAGCCAACAGACTGCAGCAGCATGAGGATACTTGAAAAAGGGGCCTGCAAATGTTGCAGCATGAACGAATGGCCAACCATGAAAACTTTTCAAGGATCAAGCTTTCCTTTCCCATATACACAACAGCTGCTACTTGTGAATTTGATCAAGCTATTCTTGATGCACTTCGGCACTGCCGTAAACTAAGTTACCATGGCACAATCCAAGCAACCACATTCTGCCTGATCGCTCCAACAACAGGAAGACAGACAGAGCAGCCGTAAACTAACTTTGTCTTCGAGGCCAGAACATTAATACCAAACTCTGTGACTAAATCAGTACTGTATACGAGTGAAATTGCTTGCGGCTTCCAGGAAACACCGAAAGAATGCTTACATGCACGCCCATCGATCGACTGATATGTACACATGCATATGGTTGAAAGACTAATGATTCTATCAAAATTGCAATGATTTTCTGCAAAGGAATGTGCCTCATGTTGGAGATTCAGCAAGAACCAAGGTATGCCACCAACCGCATGACACGTTCTTGGGCCGGAGGTTCTCCATAGGAACCAAAGCAGGGATGTTTCTGTCGATCGCATCCCCTAAACCAAGCTGTGAACAGAAAGACAAAACACTAAACCTAAATCAAGAACAAAAGGTTGAAGCAGGATTTTTGTTGCACGAGATATGTGATACCTGACCATATTTGTTCCATCCCCAGCAAAATACCTGTCCATCATCTGCAACGCCACAAGTGGAAGAATCACATAATTTGTCAGTTCAAGCTCACAAAGAGATGTTCCAGGAATGTATAGTACAACTTTTGTCAAGAAAACTAGATTAAAAAAATAAAAAAAAACATCGGAGCTGCTTCCAGAAGCGGCATCCGCTGATGTAGTTTAGTTATGGCTGAAGTGCTTCACGAAGAAAGGACATGCATGACTACCAATTAAAAAGATAAACTGCAACAACAAAAAAAGAAAGCTCGCCAATTCTGATAAAACACCTATGTTGATATTGTAGAAGCAGCACATGACAGTTGGAATGAGGTTGTCTGCATAACTTTTGTTCTAAGCATGTTAAACAAATATCAGTAGATACTTTTGTGACAGAAACATGGGAAATTTCTTCTTCAATTAAATTATTTAGTTTTTATCGTGTTAATATGCCTAACATACATCTCACTTGAGTGAGGGGGAGACATTGTACAACCACCATTTAAATTACATTTGACATAAGTTTCTATTGCAAAATTTTGGAATGTGTTTGGGTTCCACAATAACATTCGAGTGTGGAGTGCGCATATGGGATGGAGCAGTCTAAAGGACAAACTAGCATGATAAGATGGGCTCAAGGTAATACCTGTCATCATGGCATTATGACGTGCTCCACAGGAGACCAATTTGGCGTTCTTGTTCTCCAGACATGGAGCATCCAGTAGCTTGGGTAGAGTCTGTAACCACAAGCATGCTATGAGCACCAATATCAAATCATTGAAAGTCATCTTTATTCAAAAATATCTAAAGTTCTTAACATAATCCAAATTAATGGCCGTAGTTATAGTTCCTGTCTTCGGCAAGATATATTCTAGTTACACCTGTGGCTTATAAAATAACCTACAGGAAAAAAATTAAAGAACTTGATCTATGAAAAGCAGCTTTGCTCTTTACCATATTTCCGATCCATTTCTTAGCAAAATTTCATGCTTCTTTTTGGATGCTTTGCATATGATTAGTGCACAGGGTTCCTTTTTTTCATCAAAATAAGTCAAATTGTAGAGGGCGCAGGTTTCAAGTTCTGTGTGGAATCTGTCCACTAATGGAGCATGCTTAGGTCTCTGGTGATACATGTAACTCCTCTTTTTTTTCCGAATGGAACATGCTAAAATGGAAAGATCCAGCTGTCAGTGCATCTGTTGAACATTTAAAAAAAAAAAAAAAAACAATGTTGGGTGCCACTGCAAGCTACATATGGTACTTTAGAGTTTATCACAGTGTTCCTTTATCCTTTATTTTCTTCCTGGGTCTGTTATATTTCCACATGCAGGTAGTGCCAAGAGGGGTTTAAATTGGGAGGGGAGGAATGCCGAAGAGGCTTGAACATTTACAGCTTCCACCATATTTCTTCTATTTTAAATTTGGAAGTCAAAGTAGTTGCAAATAAACTCCTGGCATGCTGCAATAGGCAGCCATGAGACATGGCATCTTGCCATTATGCAAAGAATGTAAGAGTAGATTGCAATAGAATTGCAACGAAGACAGACCTCAGCTTGATCAGAACCAGTTCCTAGTTGCCCAAACTGATTCCCACCAAACGAATACACACCACCATCAGCAGATGTGCATACTGTATGCCACAGGCCAGCAGCAACTCCTTGTATCGTGACACCCAAAAGTGACGATACACATGTTGGACTCAGCTCATCATCGGTACTTCCTTGTCCACACTGAAAAAAGGTGGAATATAAGAAGGAAAAGGAAGAAAAAGAAAAGACAAGAATCAGTTAGTTCTGTCCTCGGATATTGAAAAGTAAATCCACAGTCAATATAAAACAAAGACAATTTCCCATGTTACAGTGGACCTCATCTTCAACATTACAATGCTTTTTCTCCATCTTTTCTACAATTCCTACATGTCAATCCTGGAGAGCAGTTAATACTTAAAATATAGCAAGGATAAGCTAAAAAAGAATCAGATTGAAGAGCAAGATACCCGAATTACAAGGTTATCATATTCCAAACCAGCAATTCCTTCCATGTCTGTGAATTTCTATACTGACTCATTAAGACAATAAAAAGGTAGCATTACCCACACTACCATATCCAACATGAATGAGAATAGAATTGGTTGTTGAACTCGATTTGAGATCAGAATTATGACAATGTCAAGAAATAGTCTACTGAAATATCACATATAAACTGTCTTAATACAACCTTGGATTACAGTTAACTTAGATGACCAGGGAAAAGGCAACGTACTCCAGAAAGTAGAAAGCCTTTTATACAGTCACTTGGTATATCTAAAAAACAAATATCTTTTAACATCAGGAGACATGTGAGGATGTCTTTGCATCGATACGTTCACTACAATAACATGAACTATCTTTCTCATTTCAAAGGTGAAAATATAGTAAACTACACCAGGATGATGTAAGTTAAAATGAGCACATGTGCCAGAATACACTGTTCAGTTATTGATTGCAGAATACACAAGCCACCATTTCTTTATGTGCTTGTTTGTATGGACATGCTTACTAACAGTCTCGTGACAAGTTATAGAATTTATGATTGTGAAGCTGGCAGAAAAAGTATGGCTGCACATTCGGACCACAAGTGCTAATGACCTATCAACTGAAGGAATAGGATAAATGAGGCATCAACATAATAACTAATTGATGATTTGTTTAACAATGATGGGATACTAACTAAAGAAAGGATCCAGTAGTGCAAAATACTGACTACACATCAAAATTGTAAAGAACCTCAATTAATGTAAGAAAATAAAGTAACAAAACAACTGTGTGTCACCTGTAGTGACAGCATATTAAGCATTTCTAACCTAAGATGACATCATTTCTTTGTTAATACTGTTGCAGAGTCTTGGCCATCAATCAATCAGCCGGCTCATACAAGTCAGTTGCTATGTGTTTGTGTGTGCATGTATGGGTCATTGGTTTCGTGTTTTTATCCTCCTTTTTCCCTTTTTTACCATCAAAAGAACATAAAAACACCTAGATTTTAACAATTAGCAGACAATAAGAACACTACTTCTTGCCCTCTTTAATAAAGCACGAATATCTTTAATAATAGGTAGTATCTATCATAGTCCCTAGTCCCTACGAAGTTCCAATAAAAATTGATAATCACGAGGAAAAATGCCATAACATCAATTGGATTATCAATCAATCTGCAAAAGAGATAAAGTGGTGGCTAACCTGGCCATAAAGTCCCCATCCGAAAGTAAGTAGGGCTCCAGTATCTGCAAGTGCAAAATATAATAATGCATGGAACTGTAACAGTTAGAACAATGATCAATCAAGACGTGCGAGGAGATGGAACATCTATTAGCTACTGCCAACTCATTATCTGACATCCTAGTAACTGGATGCAGATTAAATTCTAGTCAAGAATTACAACATATAAATTGAATTGATTAGCAGTTAGAAGAGTACAAAGTTCTAGAGCTTTGAAGGTAGAGCATATGCAAGTTGTAAAGTGAAGAGAGATCTTTCATTAGAAAAGGGATATGCATAAAAGACAGCAGAAATATGCATGAGTACGGAACAAAATTTGTTGTCATTAAGAATAATTACCTTTAAAATATTCAACCCCCATCATGTAATTGTCAGCTTTGGAACTAGTTCATGATCTGCTATAAGACATGCTAGATCCTATATTCTCATCCTCTGTCCAATTTTTACAACATCAAGCCACAAATTTGCCTCCATCCTTTGCAATAACAATAGTTCATCAAGTTTCCGTACTCAAACAATTAACTAAACTGAACATAGCTAAAATATAGGAAATAACAATTTTATTTTACGATTAATTGTTAAATCTTGCCTTCAAATTGCTAATCCACAAGCTGTTCACCTTGTCTGTGTTCTCATCTGTCATATGAATTTGCCTTTTAAATCAACTTGCTTTGCTTTATTTCATTAAAGCATAATTTTTAGTAACCATTTACACATTGCAATAGGCAGAGGCCTATTCCTTTGCTGCTAGTATGACAAAAAAAAATTGTTGCCAAAAATTAACATGTTGTGATATGCTAAATACCTGCCTACCTTCATCTTCACATATACTTATTACTGTCAAAGTAGTTAGCCAAAGACAATTTGTACATCATGCATGCATGGTTGTCCAATTGACACAACACACACACATATACAGATGCATGTATCTACATAAGCAGAATGCAGGAATAGTCTTATCAATTTTTCGAACTAAAGAAATGATTTTTAATAATATGTTGATAGAAACAATTCAAATATCACTAGAAAATTGAGACAATGATGGAAAATTTTGTGGTAGAAAGGGAGTAGCAAATGATTGCTAACCTGTAACTGCAACACTGTGACGACCCCCGCAAGCAATGGCCTTCACACAGCTTCCTATGAGTTTATATGCCTGTCCATCTGAGCTTTGTTTCCCTTTGGTAGCTGGTGATGATCGGTCTTTATTGAAAGAAGCTGATTCTATACAAGGTACAGGATGAGGAGAAGACACATTCCGGATACGAGTACCCAAACCAAGTTGCCCTTCTCCTCCGTAGCCCCAACCCCACACCTGACCTACATCTGAAACTTTGCAAAAAATTCAACTCATTAGTAGTTGGTTTTCCTTTAAGTTAGAAACCTAATCAGAACAGTAAAGAAAAAAGTGAAAAAAAAGGCAAACTACTGAAATACATAGAAAAGTTGATAACTGTATAAAACTTCTACTCAAGAAAATTGACTTACCCGACAATGCTAGTGTATGTCGTCCACCAGCAGCAACACTGGTGATATGGATACCTACATTAAGAGTTACAAGGCATGGAGGTGCCGAAAGAGCTTCTTCACCAGAGGATGAGCTTTCAGGTCCCATTTTAGCTGAAGACAACTTTCTTCGCTTCGTATTCTCATCACCACCTCTACTATCAAAACCTGACAGGGTTCCACTAGCTCTTGAGCCCTGTGATCTGGGACTCACTGTCGTGGAGAAACCACAAATACGGATCTAAGATAATGTCAAATTAATGAAGCTTTCTTTTTCTATCTCGAATCTTCAGAAAAAAGAACTGATATCACCTTGATCACTTAACAATCCACTGTGTCTTTCTTCTTTTTCTGACGTTCCACCAGAGGAAGACTGATCTCTAGTGATCCTGCCAGTAGGCACACACTCTTTCCATCCCCATGTGTAGACCTCTCCTTGAGCTGGCCTAGGAAGGTAAAATTTAAGTTTCCAAAAAGCTCTACGGTAGGTATATTTGTAAGATTATGCATAATAAAGCATATATCTTTTGATCCAAGACAACGACACTCTTTTTACTCTCAAGAAAATATGAAAAGAATATGGATCATGTCCATCACAATGTTTCAATTTTGTACTTTTATCCTAATAGATAAGGAAGATCAGATATCAACAAGAAGTAATAGGCATATCACCAGTGACTGCAACACAATGAGCCCATCCTGCTGCTGCCATAATTATGGGCACCTCGGTTGGGAGGTCAAATATTGCCGGAGTCTCCTGATAAACGCAAATGTGAAATTTATTCATTAAAAAGAAATCCAATTTTCAAACAAAAAGAAGTAAATAAACAAAAATATACAAAATTCTGGTTAATTCAAAAGATGGCATGACTACCTCATGCTTCCCCGATGTAACATAGCTTTGACCCATGTCATCGGTAGAACCCCATGTATATAGCTTGCCTGACTCTGAAACAAGAGAGAAGACGGCGTGACAGGTCATTACTCGGTCAACATTCAGTTCTAATAAAATCAATCAGCAAACAAATTTCTAAGGCTACGTTACTATCAAAGATTACAAGGTCTTCAGATTTTTAAGAAAAACGACACCAAATTTCAAAAGGATTGGTATTGCCATTGAAATGGAAAAGCATTCCCAACTGTGATTATAATGTTATCGTTCAAATAACTGTTTTTCAGCAGCACTTCAGTTGCGCTTAAATCAATTAAGATAAATAAAGTTTTTACTTAAAATCACGAGAAACTAAGGCCACTCTGAGCCACACAAAGACTATCCTGCTTGTGAGGATATAAACAAAGGACAATAAGAAGACCATTATTATCATCAAAGACATGCGACCATTATTATCATCAAAGACATGCCTTAATATGGTATAAAGGAAAAAATACTTACAAATACTATCTAAAATAATGGAAAACATTAAAAAAGGAAAGGCAATCGAATTCCAAATAATCAGTTCGATGGCCAAGAGAAGAATGCAACTCAAAGAACGAAGGCTATCAAGATGAGGAAAGCCAACTTCATCAAAGGCAAAGGAAGAAAAATATATCTCGTTTAAAAAAAATGAGGGCTGCAAAGTTAAAAGCCCGACAGATCTCCACGAACAAGCATCTAAAGATCAAGGATTTCGTCTCTGACAGGAAAGGAACCAAAAACGAAACGGAAGAGGCAGACAGAGAGTAGAGGCAGAGGTCAATACCAGAGATGGCCATGGCAAATCCGCATCCTCCGCCACTGACGTCCCGCCACCGGTCTCCTGCGGGCGAATCCGGCATTCGGACGGCCACCGGGTGAAGCAGAGGCGATCTCTGCGGCGACACTCCAGGGAGGTAACCCCACATCAGCACCGTCTTATCCCTCCCCTTCTCCTCCATCGTCTCCTCCACCACCATCATCTCCTCCTTCCCATCCTCCTCCATCTCCTCCCCTCCTCCTCCTCCTCCGCCTCCTTCCTCCTCCCCAACATTCATCTCCCTCCTCCCAATCCACCTATCGCTCTATCAACCGATCTCCTCTTCCCTTTCGCGGCTTCCGTTTTCCCTCGATCTCCTGACGTCGACCTGGAGCTCCGCTGCTGTTTGCACCAACAAGAGGACTCGACGACCACCAAGAGTGACCAAGGGGGGGAAAGAGGCCAGGACAGCCCTAATTCGCCCGCATCCGTTCGTGCATCAGCAGGCTGTCCACGTAGGACGCCCCGAGATGTGGGCCATGACAAGTGGATCGACTATAGCCAGGAGTTTGCCAGAAGCTTCTGGAAGCCCACAGGCCCACCTCGGGGAAAGCGGCGGCATCTGCGGCCACCGGTCGCCCACGTGGCATCTCCGATTGGACGCGAACGGTGGGTGACGTGGGTTCGTTTCCCCCAATGGGCCTAGTTTTCATGTGGCTGGCCTCGGAAGCTTCGAGAAAAAACGTGTGGCATTATTATTGTTATTATTATTGTGAGAGAGAGAGATTTCGTGAGATTGGAGTTTGATTGCAACGTGAGGGGCGAACGGGGACACCGATGTCACTCGAGTACGAGGTATCCTCGCGTCGAGCGGAGAGGGCCGTGAGATCCCGACCTCGTTAGACACCTCTCGAGTTTAATCTCCTCTCTCTCTCTCTCCCCCCTTCGTCCTCAATAAGATCGCTTCCTCTCTCGATGCCTTCGTGCTCCCCATTCCCCCGTCGGGCCACCAGGAATAACGCAGTAGGGAAGTCTTCCTCAAAAGGTTAGTGTTTATAAGATCTTCTATTTTTGTCGATAAATACGTCTCTCTTTTGCCGATCTCCCGGTGCGGTATAGCGGCAAGAGAGGCAATACGTCTCGGATGATCGTCTTTGGTGTGATTAGCAGAAGATTTCTGTAGCGGGACGGTAAGAAAGAGATTCGAACAGGTGTTCCAAGATCATCGTTAACATCATCGATGACCTCCACCACCGAATGCTGAAGGGTGAACGGCGCCGGCAGATGCTATTTGTGTAAACTTCATTTGCATCCGTCTCTGTTGTACGATCACATCCAGGCTATACCTTCGATGCGAACCAAAGACGGGCTTTACCTTTCTTCTGAAACGTCAGAATGCAGTCCGTCGAACCCACCAAGTCAGAGGCCATGGGAATTGTTCCTAAGGGCCTATACGTTGGTTGGGTTCGAGCCCAATTGAATCCGAGTCGAAGTGAACCCCCGAGCCTCGACCCCTTCGCCTAGCAATAGGAGGAGGGAGCCGGTCTCGATCAAATCCAAGTATGAAGGCTGTCGGCGAGTTCGGGGAGCTCAAACCGCTCCTCCTCAGGATCTCCGCCGTCGCCGCCGCCTGCTTGGCCGCCTTCTTCTTCGGCAAGCACTGGTCTTCCGCCTCCTACCCCCAGCTCCCCTTCTACCCCCGCTTCCCCGTCGTGTCCTCCTTCGACAGCGCCACGCCCTACGTCGCCATCTCCCCCAACGCTCACTTCTCCGTAGACGTCTCCTCCCTGATCTCCTCCTTATCGCCTCCTCTCCATGCAGCCTCTCCGGCCATCCCTTCCCACCCTCCGCCCCCACCCCCGCCTCCTCCGCAACTCCCAGAAAGAATCGGGGTCGTAGACGACGAAGGGAACATGAGAGACGATTTCGATGTGGGCGCGCTGGACTCAGAAGTGGTGGATGTCTTCGACGAGGTGAATGGGACTAGCAAGGATAGCGAAGGGGAGGACACGAGGGTTAGGGTTGGGATCAACAAGTTTAAAGTGTGCCCCAGTAGCATGTCGGAGTATATTCCGTGCTTGGATAACGCGGAGGCAATAGAGAGGTTGCAGTCTACGATAAGAGGGGAAAAATTCGAGCGGCATTGTCCTGAGCAGAGCAAGGGGTTGAATTGCTTGGTTCAGGCGCCCAAGGATTACAAAACGCCGATCCCTTGGCCCAGAAGCAGAGATGAGGTTTTCTTTCTCTTGACCTGCTTCTTCAGGCTCCCCAATTTTCTAAGAAATAGTCTTAACCGTTAATAGTCTTAAGGTCTCAGTTGATTCTAGTTGTCACTCTAAACAGTCCTACTCGTCTGTTGCTCATGGAAGTTCAGTCCCACGGTCAGTCATAGATTAGTAGTTGCATATCATTTTTCTCAATTCCTCTGCAACTTCAGATTATATAATCTCATGTTTTATTGTTAATCGTGTGCAACTGGGAAGTGCAGTGGGAGTTGACGAATATGATATACTTTTAACTTTCTTGTTTGCACGGTTTTTATCATCATATTATGGAGACCTGGATCAGAGTTGGAAACAAGATCCATTTAATCCATTACAAAGCTTACAAATCCCCTGAAGCACGCATGTAGCTTCACAAGAGGAGTATCAAGCATGCATATAGTGTAGAATATCGTGCTCACAAAGTAAATATATTGACTGGTATATAGACATAAGTTATACTTTTTAATTATCAGCAAAAAAAAATCTGGGTGGGATGAGACACAAGAAGCTTGAGGCTTCAGTTCCTTCATTTAATTTGTGTGCAAGGATCTGGAAAACAAGCCATTTGTTAGAAAACAACACCACAGGTGTTCATTGCTCAATTATCTAGATTCAGTCAGGTAGGTGAGATCCAGAACTTCGATTTAAAGTTCATGCCACAAGTCCTATTTTAAGTTAGGTGAGAAGCTAGTGATTCATTTTATTGTGCTAAAAGCCATTGATTTAAATTAACACGAGACTAAGCACACTCATAAAAAGAATATGGAATAAATTCTTTCTAGGGCTAACAAAAATTTGAAACTCAATCTTATGGTATTTTCATACAATTCAGTAATTACAACTAATTTCCTTAATCTCGGATTTAAAGGCATTAAAGTGAATGGTAGGCAAGTCAAAGGCTATTCTTTTACCCCTCTTCTATGACCATGATGTGAATTTTGGTTTCTGGAACAAAATTCGAATCAGACTTTCCTTTATTATGTCAGTAGTCATGCATTTTATTTTCACAGATTAATGAACATGATTATTGCTGAGCATAGCATCATATGAGAGTTCTAAAAGAATTTATCAGTAAACTTCTCTTTTTGAAGTTTCTTTAGCTATAAGTTCTATAAACATTGAATATGACTACTGGACATGTTCCCGAATTTTTATGCCATGGCCAAGAACTCAATGTAAATTGACGAGGTTTATCACCACACTAAAACTTATGGGTTCAATTAACTACATAAATGTTGCCTTACATGAGGATTAAGGGTTATGATCATTCTAATGTATGTGAAACAACAGTAAGGGTGAAGATGAATTAGCGCCTTATAACTTTATGGGAACTTAATAAATTTAAGAGATGCAAAATCTTGAAACAGTTACCAAAAGATGATATATCATAAGAATAACCTTATATCATTCTTATAACTGATGCTTATTATGATATACTAGTTTCTCTAACCAAGCAGCCTTTTCTTCCTAAAAGTTCTTTAAGATTCAGTTTGCTGATTTGTGGAAGTTGCAAATAAGCAGACTGATGTTCTAGTTGGTGTGCAACTAAGAGTTCCTTTATGTGCGGCCGAACTGCACTTTGAAGATTATTCAACAATTAGACTGTTGTTCATTACAAAAAGTTCATAGGCAAATTTTTGTTTCACATGGCACTTTGGTATGTTCTTAGATTTTTAGTATTTAATTATTCCAGGTATGGTTTAGCAATGTACCTCACACACGCTTGGTTGAAGATAAAGGAGGTCAAAATTGGATTACAAAAGTTAAAGACAAATTCAAATTTCCTGGAGGTGGAACTCAGTTTATTCATGGGGCAGATCAGTATTTGAATCAGATCTCTAAGGTATTTTAGTTTTCTTGAGATACCAAATTCTGGATCTTCTCTTAAGCTTTTTTTCTTTTCTTCTAAATGTTTTTTTTCTACCTGACTGTGCAGATGGTTCCAGATATTGCATTTGGTTACCATACAAGAGTAGCTCTTGATATTGGTTGTGGAGTAGCAAGTTTTGGTGCTTTCTTACTCTCCCGAAATGTGATCACCTTGTCAATAGCTCCAAAAGATGTTCATGAGAATCAGATTCAGTTTGCTCTTGAACGGGGTGTGCCAGCAATGGTGGCAGCTTTTGCAACTCGTCGATTGTTATATCCAAGTCAGGCATTTGACTTAATTCATTGTTCAAGATGTAGAATAAATTGGACCCGTGATGGTATGTGACAGTGTCATTTTTACTCACTTCTTAGCTTGCAAAAGTTCAACTTAAAAATCAACATGCCATATACCATCGTTCAATAGTTGTTGTCTGTATCCACGAGTACCATGACTTGAATGGTGTATTATTTTTAACTTGGACATAAGCATTTTGGACAAATTATTTTGTTAACAAGTTGGTGTCAATTATCCTGTTGGGCCTGGTCATAATTTGAGGTCTATGAATTTGTATGTTTTATATTTATAGTTTTTCACAATTCTTGGTTTCCAATAACTGAAAGTCAGAATCCACCAATATGTAAAACTCGTCAAAGATTTTAACCAATAGGGAATGGTACAAAACTTCCTTTGATTCCCAGACCTCTCTTGGAATTGCTTTTCTAATTTGTTTTCTACTTTTGATGAAGATGGAATCCTGCTTCTTGAGGTCAACAGAATGCTAAGAGCTGGAGGTTACTTTGTTTGGGCAGCACAACCAGTTTATAAACATGAAGCGAGCCAACAGAAGGCTTGGCTAGGTATATCCTTATTGTACAATTTTCTAAAGAAATTTATAGTGTGACCGATTCTATGTTTAGAATCAATCTGGTTGCAGATTGTGAATGTGAAGGTTCTGTGAATCAACTCTGATTTATTTTATAAACCACATCTGCTGTGGCCAAAACTTGATCACATCTTTGTAATGTTTTCTTAATTATCCTACTCAACCATCCAAAGCTGTTCAAAACTGCATAAAGCTGCTTCTCATGTTTCTTATTTCCTAAAGTTAAGTTTTTTTCTGCATTCATCAGATGCTACATTGGTCAATGAATCATTTTTTGCTGAGTCTTAGTTTGTTTTACTTCAGTAGCTTATTTTTATTTTTGCTCTCATGCATTATGGCTAATGGATTAAGGGAATATCTATAAATACTTTAATCATGATGTTGGTTTTATACTGTTGATTTGAATCTTGGTGAGAGAGATTATCTTTCACAGTGACAAGTTTCGTTCATTTTTCTATTTCATTCTTTATAAAAATAATATTTCATATTTTTGTATGGTGAATGGTCATGTAGATCACACTCTAGACTGAATGCTGTAAGTACATTTTATTGGAGTTAAATTGAGACTGGCTTATAGGTTGTCCAAATTACGCTCATTTTGGGTTCCTAGTTTCAGGGTTTTCCTGGTAACAATGTCACTCAAATTCATGACAGGCTAATGTTCATAGTATGTGATTCACTAATTTTATATGTAAAGGGATAACTTGTTCTTTGAAAAGGATTAGTCCAACTGAAAATTTTGCCAGCAATGGGCTCTTCCCTTGATGATCAGAGTTCTGTATCATATCTGTTACAAAATTTGAGGTACATCAATTGTTCCCAGCTTCATGGAATTTCTCTTTAGATTACCGTACAAACTTATAGTTTTGATTTTTCATATTGAACAAGAACCATCAGGTATGCATATTGCAAGTCAGAAACCTTCAGTTATAATTATTGTGGGTGTTTGTTGTAGTGCATACATTATCATTCATTTGGTCCTCCTTTTTGGTTGACCTGCTTCTACAATCAAAATTATCACATCTAAATTAAGAGTCAGCATTCTGTTTCCATGTTTAACTCATTCTATCATGCACTAATTTCCTTTTGCTATTTATGCTCACAAGTTTAGTTTATGTATAGAGATGCAGGACCTTGCAGCTAGGATTTGTTGGGAACTTGTAAAGAAGGAAGGATATATTGCAATATGGCGAAAGCCTTTAAGCAATATATGCTATGAGAGTCGTGATTCTGGAGCTCAACCTCCATTATGTAATGCAGATGATGATCCAGACAACGTTTGGTATTTGTCAAACCTTTTGCCTTTAATTCTTCTTAATTAAGGGAACTGGTCCACAGCAAGCTATCATTTTTGTGTAGTGGCCCCTCACTCCCTCAGGATAACATGGACAGTTGAGGAATTGTTGACGGATCAGCATATCCATATATATTCTTTATGTATTCTAAGAATTTGTGATGCCAATATTGCTGATAACAGGATATTTTCTTGAGCCCAATGCAAAATGCATTCTGTCTTGTTGACCTTTGTTTCATAAAGTAATCTGTAGATTTTGCTTGCAAATATTTATTATCTTGAATATATTTCATTGCTCGAGACTCCAGCTGGTATTTTGTTACTTGGTGTACTTGTTTGAAATTTTTTATACATGATATACCAATGAATATTCAGAGTTATCTCCCACAGGAGATTGAAAATTTATGGTCTAAGTGGAACTTTCCATATCTATATTTACTTTTTGCTTGGCTTCGTTCCCATTCCTTCGACAACCTAGAACATCTAAATTGAATAAGGAGATTCTCAAGCTGATTTCCATGTTGACTCAATACTTTATTTAACATCATGTGGATTCTTTAGAATTTCTAGTTTCTAGAGAGTCTGCATTCCCCGAAGATGAGTTAGGAAAATATGGGATTGAACATCTAGGTTCTTTGACACCAGTAGAGCTTTTTTTTTTCTTCAATTTAGCTATTACTCTTGCAATTCTTTTTCTTGTTCTAATTGGTTCTGCATATTCTACAGGTATGTGAACATGACGGCATGCATAAGCAGACTTCCTGAGATTGGATATGGAGCAAATGTTTCAACGTGGCCTGCCCGTCTGCAGGAGCCACCACAAAGACTTCAAGCTGTTGTGATGGATGCTTATATAGCAAAAAATGAGCTCTTTATGGCGGAATCGAGATATTGGGATGACATACTTGCAAGCTATGTTCGTGCTTTTCATTGGAAAAAAATGAAGCTGCGGAATGTAATGGATATGAGGGCTGGATTTGGAGGGTATTTTCTTTTTCCCATTAGAGGAATTAACCAGAAAAAAAAAATCTATAATTTGAATGTGATTTATAAGGGTATATTGAGGTGTATAATAGTATGTATGGATCAATTGTCCACAAAATCCAAGATGGCATACTGTTATGGCTACATAATTAACATAAAGCAAGTCAGGTCAAACTTTATAATGGATAAGGTTATTGTTTCCACTGAAGTATTTTGTGCCACTCCATTGATCATCATAAGGTAATTTTTTTGAAAACATATTTAATTGAATTTTTCGTTAGAATCTTTATTTTTTTCCCTCATGTTTTACAGAATAGTAATGTTGAATGCTGCAGAGTCTTATTAAGATAATATGCACATAGTAGAAGGCACTTGGACTTTGGATAGTAATATCTTGCCCTATGAAAATATATTATATTTATAGTCTTATTAACAACAAAGAGAAAAAAGCACCATCTTCATGCTTTTAAATCCATGTAGTTCAAACTGAATCCCTTGAATGGCATACTTTGTGTTGCAATGTTCAGTTTAACTGATCAGCCATCATAAACTTTAATTGCAGGTTTGGTTCTGCATTTATCAACCATCAAATCGATTGCTGGGTGATGAATGTTGTCCCTAATAGCGGACCCAACACATTACCTGTAATATATGATCGGGGACTTGTAGGAGTTACTCATGACTGGTATGGTCCATCGTTTTTTATGCCTTATTGCACAAAAATGTTTGCTTTATTTCCAGCCTCAAAGATGGCAGGCCAGGAAGAATTTCTTTGCTGGATAGAGAGGTAGATAGAGAGGACAATTTCACTGCTAGATTAAGATGTATGATTAGCCTAAAAAATGTTTGCTATCTTTCTATCTACCTCTCTATCTGTCTGGCTATCTGTCTATTCACACACCACCTACCACAGAGATATGCGCACCAGTTTGCTGTCGCTTCTTGTGTACTGGTGTGAATATTTTGCTGACACTTTTAGACTGCAGGTGTGAACCATTTGATACGTATCCAAGAACTTATGATCTACTGCATGCGTTTGGCCTCTTCTCCGAAGAGCAGAAAAGGTAAGTGATTATTTCATTTTGATTAATATTTTTCACAATCTCAAAGTTCTCTTTGTCAATTCATTTGTCTGTTATATTGCATCGCTTCCCTTCCCTTTTCCCCCTACTTTTATCTGCAGAAAGGTCTTGTAGTTGAAAGTTACATGGACTATGTGGTCAGTTAGGATAACATGTAGATGTAATCTACTTGGAAAATGAACTCACTATTCCAAGATGTATTCATGATTGACCTTAATTTTTCCTTCACAATTTTCAGTAATAAACTGGTTCAAAACCAATTTGGCATTGAATTGATGGTTCTCATCAGTCAGTTGACATGAATTTGGCACGAAAATAGATCTCTTCTGTTGCACATAAAGAATTAGGTTGCTCTATCTTACTTCACTGTTAGATTTATGCTAACGATTTTTTTGTTCTAATCATATACATTCAGGTGCAACATCACTAGCATCTTGCTGGAGATGGACCGCATGCTAAGACCTGGTGGGCATGCTTATATTCGTGATTTGAAATACATTATCAACGACATTCAACAAATCGCAGAGGCCATGGGATGGCGGACCAATCTCCGTGATACAGCCGAAGGCCCATATGCGAGCAGGAAGATTTTGATGTGCCAGAAACACTGAAACTGAAACAGATGTGGTTTTGTGAAGAGCTTATCATGTACGGCCTGTGGTTTCGAAGTGTTTCTAGCTCTTCTGCGAGTTCCACCGTATGTTTATTCCACAGAATAAGGACCAAATGCTGGTGGCAGGAGCCATTGCTGTACACAGGTAAATTAGGTAACTAAATGAACATATTTTTATTGATTATATTAGTTTCTGATCATTAAGCTCAATCCATGGTCATCGGAAACATCCTCCTGTAATCTTGGTCTCCCAAGTTTCCACACTCCTTGCCTAAATTCTACAATAGACTGGTTGTTTTCATGCTTAAAGTAGCGTCCCGTGCCACCTCAAGATATATCAGTTGCTTTTTTTTTTTGTCTTTTTTCTCAAAAGTCTCAATTAGGATAAACTCGAGGTGGATTTATCTTTGACAAATAAGATCAGATGCTAATTTTGTTTAATCATCGACTATGCATATTTATATCTTGCAATATGTTTGTTCTTTAGAGTTGAATTATCAGTTCAGTTCATGTATAGTTGAATTGCTGTTGATTTGTTTAGAAATTATAGTCGATGAATTGTTGAAATTATCAGTTCATATATAGTGGAACTATATATAGGGAAGCTGATGATTTGTTTAATCTTTGAATTGTCAGTTCATACAAGTTAGAATTATAGTCGAATTGTCTGTTATTTATATATGGATTAGAAATTTGTATGAATTAAGCGACATATGCGCTAATGCTACGATCAGGTAAATTTCTTTTATTCCCAAAAGATTTTGCTACTCTTTTGCCCACGTAAATTAATGAGGTTTATTTTGATGCCCCTATGTAGGAATCTTAAAGAGTTGGCTTGAATTAATTAAATCGACATGAAAAAGACTTCCGTTATGACATAAGATCAGATTAATCAGAGGTCTTGGACGGCTTTGATGCGTTCGATATTACATGAACGTTTCGATGACGAAGGAAGCTCTTTCCTCCATAAGCGTAGCTCACTCTGCAATCCAAAGGTCAAAAAGTATGTTCTCTTCCCCCCATTGGCTCTATGATCTGTGGATCGCTTGGCGTCAGCCATATGTTATCGGATGATATGATACGTGTGACGAGAGATGCATTTGACCAACCGAGCATTGGTGGGATATGTTATTTGGGAACGAGCATAGTCTTTCTTATGCTGATAGCAACAACAAATACTACCCATCATCTAAATAAAATATATCGACAATTATAATCGACAAATAGAACAACAAAAAAGTGCATTCTGACCAACTCACTAGTATGCCTCGTCCTCACTCTTTCGTCTTTCTCCACCACCAACCAATCATGAAGTTGCAAGGCAACCTAATTCTTGATCGTAATCGTAACTCAGGATTATAATAATAATAGAAGATAAAGAAAACCCACGGCTTGGGGGTGTCACCAAGTCGTCGTCGCCGTCGCCGTCGCCGTCCTCCTCCGCTTTGGCTTGCTTCGCAGGTCGATGACCACCACGCTGATGTTATCCGCGCTCTGCCTCGCCAAGGCCAGCTTAGTCAGCAGTATAGCGGCGTCCGAGCACAACGAATCACCACCGCCGCCTCCTTCCTCCTCTTCGTCGTCGCCGCCCCCCCGCAGGCACATCCTTGCGATGCCACAGGCCGTCTCATTGCTCACCACGTCCCACAGCCCGTCGCTCGCCAGGATCAGGCACTCGTCGCCTTCCTCCCTCTCCGTCACCGTCACCTCCGGCTCCGACACCACGTACGGCTTCAAATAGCTGTCTCCTGTTCCGTGGTTCATGTTTTTAGCGCCCACGATCTTCCCCAAACACAGCAGCAGCAGCAGCAGCAGCAGCAGGAGAGGGGTGTAGGGAATAGACTTGAGTAGATTCCCAGCTTACCTATGGCTCGAGACATGGCGAGAACTCCGAGAACCCTCGCCCCGTCCCAATAGATCACCCGGCCCCCGATGGCTTCGATTCGCTGCAGCTCGTCCTCCCGGTCCGGCTGCCAGATTTACACCAATTTCGTCGGTTCAAATCGTTACTTGGTCGCTCACTGGTGGGCTAAAGCTGAAAGACGAAAAAGGAGAGATTTTTTTTCTCCTCTCCTCTTAGTACCTTGTGATCGGAGGAGATGGGGATGGGTGCGCCGTTGCGGCAGAGGACGGCGCGGGAGTCGCCGCAGTTGGCGACGACGATCCGGGTAGGGCCGATGACGGCGACTACGGCGGTGGACCCCACGTGCTCGCACCTCGGCGGCTGGAGCTCGCACCGGCAGTCCGGGCTCGGTCGCCCGCCGCCGCCGCCACCGTCCACAGCCTCCGAGTCCATCCGGGCGAAGCTCCTCTCCATCGCCACCCTCCATGCCTGCGACGGCGTGCCGGCACCCGGCGCCAGCGTCTCCACCTCCTCCGCCACCACCTCGTGCATCCGATCCTTACAGAGCGAGGCCACCTGTAAGGGGCAGAAGAACAGATCAGCGATCGGAGAAGAGCTGAGAATAGTGAGGAAGAGAGTTGGAACGGAGTAAGGGCGGTATCCCACATGGGAGCAGCCATGGCCATCAAAGACGCCGAAGAAATGGTGCCTCGCTGGTATTCGATGGTCTCCCCCAACGAAATCGGGGCGAATGGAAACGGCGTCCTCCATGTCCCTCCTCCGCCCGCATACCGCCGCCATCCCGAACCTCGGGAAACGATCGGACAGATCCAATTCCTCCGGCGCGGCCACAGTATGCTGGGGACTGGAGCCCCCACCCGACGTCGACCCGGATTTCTCCGCGCTCCCGGCAGCGGCGCCGCCGTCCATCCTCTGCCGCTTTCCACTTGGTTCGTCCTCCACCGCTGGTGCCTCCGACTCCGCGTCGAACCTGAGCCGCCGGATCTCCATCCGGCGCCGCCTGGCCCCCCCCGATCCCGGCTCGGCGGACCTCATCGCCGCCGCCTCGGCGCCGCAGTTCACCACGCCACAACAGATATCCACCATTACCGAGGTACGCACGACGAAATTAAAACAAGGTATCGACCCGTTTCCTTTCTCTCTTTTCTTCGTCGCTTCGATCCCTTTCGAATTCGAATCGGTGGAAGATAAAAAGAGAGGACGGGGGAGGCGATGGTCGGCCGTGGTGGCAGAAACATACGTGTCATACTCAATAACCCGACACCTCGAGACCTGGTTCGAGAGGGCGATGGATCCACCAAGGGTCCCACACGCAACACGTCGTCATCGCGAACCGAACGGCAGGCCGAACGAGAAACGTGTAGTAAAAGCATGCGTCACGGCTGGCTTCCACGTGCTACGCTTTTCCCACCAGAACAAGACGTATCCCTGTCCGTCTGGTCTCTCTCGCTCCGCTGTCGGGACGCGTGGCAAGCGTCGTGGGTTTTTTCTCGCACGTTTGTGGTCCCCGAGGATCCTCGTTTCATTATTCATACTCCAATCAATCGGTCGGCCAGGACTCGGCTGGCGCTTCGATCGAAGGGTCGCTGATCCCGCAACGTGGAACATCCAGCGCCTTACACGACTTCTTTTCCCCCATTTCTCCCCTCTTTTTTATGTGCGTGGGAACAGCGAACGTGGACGGGGCGAAGGGTACTTCCTATTCAAAGAAAACAATAAGAAAATTTCTATATAAATATATATATATATATATATATATATATATTTATTTATATATTATGGCGGTGGATTCTCGGTAGGACACGCGTCCCCACGTCACGTCACGTCGCTGCTTCCTTCCTTGTTTAATTCACAGATTCCATGTCTTCGTCGCAATAAATAAGATCTTGTTATAGATCTCGACCGCTGAAGACATTTTTCGTGGAAGATCCATCCGACATCGGTGTTGCTCGAGATGAGTGATCGATGATGCAGATCCTGGGAAGCTTACCAGGGCTTTTATCTTTTGCATCGACCTTTAGAGACGATTGATGAGAGGAAAGGCGTGTACGAATACATACATACATGCATACATACATCAAGAAAATACATAAAAGAAAAAGAAAATACACAAGATAGATAGGTAAACATTAAAGAGGTTGGAATGATTTATGGACCATCAAAATTGTATTGTCAGGTAAACAAAAAAAAAAATTCTCATGTTCAAATGAAACAGGAAATAGAAAACAAGCTTCCCTTCCCCGAAGGCC